GTACACACTTAACAATGACTGGTAGTTTTATTTAGCATGAAAGAAAAAATCTGTTCTTGGTCCCAATGGAAAGCTATATATATAGCTATACAGCAATATAATTATATTCCAAAAATTAACAATTCCTGTTGATTGAAAAAAAAAAATTGTAAATTAACCTATGAAGCCAATGAGATATCTCATAAAACTTCATGACGTATCTATCCTATTCTGGTCCCTTCCGAAGCAGACCATCTGCCTACATTATCTTACAAACGCAGACTACCAATTTTTGATTTCTCAGTATCGATTGAACTTCGGAATACAACAGTGTGTAGATCTGCCCATACTAAAAACAATCGATTCTTTTCTTATGTTCGGTTTCCCCCCTCGTCCTCGATATTTGTCGTTGGTGAACCAACCGTTGGTGCGTAATAGGGTATTGAAGCTTTGCAAATTATCAACGCAGGATCATTAGTCCTTCATTGAATTAAAATCTTGATCGACAATTATGTTAAATGTGCACGCGATATCTATTTCAGGAGAGTAACAAGCAGAATAAATATACCATGAAGTGTAAATCACAACTCCAAGTCTAAGTGGTGTGTATTTAACGGGTTCAGCATCTCACCACCACCTCTATCCACCCCATACCACCACCACCACCACCACCACCTACCCTCTCATATACAAAGAGGCAGTTCAAAGGAAAAGAAAACCAGAATGGTTCACCTGTGTACATACTCTGCCACACCCTTCCACATCCAATATACAGTAAAACCTCGTTACACTGCCACCATTTCCCAAAACAACAAAAAACTATTAAAAAAAAGAGCAGGACCAGGGTCACTCAACATGTTTTAGTAGAAGAGTAGTGGATTCTTGGAACTACCTTTCCAACTCAGTAGAAGAAGCCCCATCTCTTAACTGTTTTAAATCTCGTTTAAACACTTTTTGGAAAAATATACCGTCCAAGTTTTATCCCAGTTTTTATGCTTCACAACCGGTTAACAGTATGCTACCAAACCAAGATGCGCATACATTAGCTACTTCAAGCTAACAACAGTGTCGACGAAGAGGTAGGTTAAAGGTAAAAGATTGGCGATACAGAGGGGTTTGGCGATAAATTGAGGGAAATATATATATATGTAGGATTTCGTAAGAAAAGAAGAAAAGGGAACATTGAAATAGTTTTGCAATAAACGAAATGGCAAATGAAACGATGGGCATTATTTCGAGATTTTTATTGAATATATGTTGTATAAAAATTATTTATTCGAAGTTATTGCGGTCTAATAACTTGTGTAACTAAATTTGAGGTCTGGTTAGAGACGATTCAAATGAAATGAAAACAAGATACAATAAAGTCAAACTTAACTCACACCTAACGCATCTTCCCCTACATTTTGACGTTTTCCACGATGACTTAATTTAGATATGAGTCTGAAATCGTGAGTTTGAAGCAAGACTATGTAAACGATGTTATTTGAATTTGAATGAGAAAAGTGTATAAGAAAAAGGTTCGCTCACTCGTGAATCTGAATGAGAAACAGTTCTTTCAACTCGTGATAAAGTTATCAATTCATTAACATCATGATAACTAGTTCTAGTTAGCATGTACAGGCTGTCAGATAATAAAAGATAATCTGTAAATGTATAGCTTGAATTCAGACTCTTTTATTATATAATCACAATAGGTCTTCGCTAACGCTGACATCACCATGCTGAACAATATAGCTACATGGTTGCTCATATGTTATCTATAGAGCTACCATCCATAGTTTTGAAATTTACGCATTACTGCCGCGATATCAACTATCATTATTAGATAAAACTATCACCGTTATGTCCTCAAACAGAAGTTAGATATTGTATAAAGGTTCTGTGTATGTTTTCTTTAAAATTATGTGTCATCTGTGTGTTGTTGGGTTTGTGTATGTGTGTGTGTTTTTTTTACTTCCTATTAACAGCAATGGTCATTTAAGGACGTGCTTGGTTTTGGTGGTGTAAGGAAGCCAGGGTGCCTGGAGAAAAACAACCGACCTGCGGATATTACCTATAGCGACTACCCAACGTGGGTCTCGAAACCGTGACCGATTGGTGGAAGGCCAGACTGGCCCTCGTCTCTAGAATATTGAATTAGTTATTAGTTGGATGTCTGATTCTAGATTTGACCAGACCCTAAGTTCTAAACTAGGGGAGATAAACTAGTAGTAAAATGCAGTCGAGGAATTCTTCATACAACTTGGGGGCTGGCAGTCAGTCTAGTGGAAGGCGACTAGCCAGGTGCCTTATTTAGCTACTCGGCCATCGAGGCCCTGGCAAATTAAATCGGTATCCTTATTAACCTACAGACACATTCTATGGAGGATATCCAACAAGTTATTATTGATTAAATTTCTTATCCAACAGAGTCAGCGTATGCGAGAGCTTGTAATTATTAGGATTAAATGGCACCACGTGAAGTAGGTATAAGCATAAAAAAATGAAATATAACGACCGAATTCAAAAGTTTTGAAGTCGGTCGTTATATCTTATATTTTCTATAGTTACCTACTTCACATGGGCATTTAATCTCTTATATTATACAACTTAATTGATATACAATACATGAAAAAGAAACGTTGCAACAAATCACTAAAATTTAATCATGCTCTTGTAAATTAATTTATCGTGTTACTGTACATGGTATTAATAGATAGGATCTTACATGATTTTCCATTTAATATAAGAGTTACAAAACGAGTCTTAAAAATCGTTTTAGCGAAATGAAATGAAAAATCTGTCAAACATTTCATATAAAACGAAAACGAATGTAAAATTCCTATGAAAAAGAGACGTTTATTTATCCAACTGTTCAATTATTAACCAAAATTCAAAATTTAATCCTGCTCTTATAAATACGTTTACGTTGTACACTGTACACATGCGGGATTTTACCTGGGTTTTCATTTCTCTTTTACGGATTTATGAACAGCGAGTTTAAATAAATGATTTTATCGAGCCTCTTGCGAACTAAGAAAATTTAGCGAAAGTAAAATCCTTTTTTATCATAGCAATCGTGTCATTCTTGAGGTCTGAACAGCCTACATTTTTTTTGCTCTATATCTTCAATTATGACGTCATGATATAGTATGGAAGTCTGTGACGTCAAGGTATAGTATGGAAGAATGTTACGTCATTATTAAGATTATAATTGATGACGTCACAATATTTAATGAATTACCAAGATTTTGTTTTGGTATATACGGTATATACCGTATATACGGTATATACCGTATATACCAAAACAAAATCTTGGGCATTCTTTATAATTTAATTTTAAAAAAGTAGACAAACACGTTGTAAATGCACAGTTAAATTTAATTTAATTTTTACGTAAACTAAACAATTGCGCTAAAAAAAAGCTGCGTTGTAATTTTGCATTCTGAAGTGTAAAAAGTAGTTCCGTCATCAGTTGTTTGTTTTTCTTTTTAGTTAGATACGATATATACCAAAAAAAAACTATTATGGGGGAGATAGGCAAAATTTAATTATATCACATTACATGAATTAATACTCGCAAAAAATGTATTAGCTGAACTTAGCGAAATCTTAATAAACATTATTTTTGTAATTTGCATGAATCGTCTAGATAATTTGCCACGACTTTTACCAGTACAGTTTATCAGTGTACCACAAACCCCTCATTGACTACAGTATATAGTCTGTGTGTATATTGTGAAATTCTAGAAGAAGACCCAGTCCAGTTCCGCTTCACGGTAGTCTAGTGGTAGGACGCCGGGCTCTTGACCGAAGGGTTGCGGGTTCGAGTCACGCCACGGCACTGCGTTGAATCTTTTAGCAAGATATTTAACTCTGCTTGTTCCAATCTACTCAGCTGTAACTGAGTAAGTGGTTGGGCAGTGCTGGAATTGTTGAATGCTAACTGTGAGCGCCGAAATGGCAACACCGGCTGTATGCTCCCCATGGAGTTGAGAAAGATATTGGCTGGTCGCAAATGCCACGAATAATAATTTGTGAACCGCTTTGAGACGACCTACGAAATAGGTTGTGATAAAGCGGCATTTAAGAACCCCGAATTATTATTATCATTATTACATTCCTCCCCCCTTTAACAAGGTTTTCGACCCCGAAGACACACTAACCACCTTCTGGTTCTATAGGAAAAGACTTATATAGGCTTAGCCTGTTGTCTTACCCTTGGTTAATGCATGTACTGTTATATTTCTTATGTAGTTCTTGTAATTGTTTGTTTAAAAAAAAATTTGATTTAAAATAAACCTCCACTACACATCCCTGCCTAATGTAACAGGAGCGGGGAAATGCACGGCCAGACCGGGGTTCGAACCCTAGTTGGCAATCAACCCAGTCATGTTCCGCTACAACTGTATGCATACATTTAGAGTTATCTCCCCTATAAATGATTACCATTATCCAGAGACGTACTATATATACGTCTCTGCAATATCTTATTATATCTCAAACGTTAATTTTCTTATCCATTTACCAACAAGATTATCATTTTTTTAGATGTCATTCAGCGCATTAAAAATGTAATGATAATGCAAACTTCTTCAGTCAGAGATCTATATATAACATGTGATCAGAGACGTAATATCAATATAATGTCAATTTTGCTAATACGTAATAAATAAATGTCACACTTATGACAATTTTCATACAAACATTCCGTTTACTTTACTTTTTTCGTATTCATTCTTTTCTTCCTTTTTTAATATATTGCGTTTTTCCAAAAGTAACCTAACGTTCCGTTCAATAATTTAAGTTTGGGCGATATTTTTCATAAATAAAGAGTAATTAGGTGTCAAGTTTTAATAACATGATTTAATTTAAGTTTATTGGATCATATGGATCTTCATTGTCGTAATTTCCACGTTTATGGCTCCAAAAATTTTGCCAACACACATTTCAAGAATAGACTATATCTTATTGCAGGCGACAGAGAACGATAGATTATGGAACAAACTATAGAGCAAAACTTTGCACGCATGCGCACAAACTTCTTCGCCATGTTTCCTTGATCATAACATTGCCATCCTAAAGAAACTTTTTGTTTAATTTTGAGGATGTCTTAACTGCAACTGTCTCTGCTGATTCGTAATTCCAAATGAATTTACCACGAACGGACCAGCCATGGCGTGTTTAGAAAATCTGAAACAGGACATACGGATCCTGGAGAGCACTTTCCCTAGACAAAACGAACGGTTTCAGATTCTGACAGTCTCGGTTGACGAGATATCTTGTCGATTTATCGACAGAAATGGTGACAAACATCGTATTCACGGCAATATTACGGTGAGAAAATTTAATATTCAACTGGCAAATATATGTTAATTATTCACTAGCAGACACTCATTATGAGGGGGTTATAACAGCTGGTAAATAATATCCTTTCATCCAGATCTTTGTTCCCACAAACAATGCAGGGGATGTCGTCTGTGTATTAAGTTAACGGTGTTAAGTAGCATACCCAATAAATGATCACCGTATTTAGATTACTACAAATGTTCACATTTGTCGTTCATAGAATACCATGGGTACCGAACAAATATATTTGAACCTAGTGAAATATATTGGTTTTCGGTTCTTTTTTTAGGCAGTATCAAACGGAAGTGACATGATGAAGTCATCCCTTTAGGATCACGATCTTCCTATCCACATGTAATTTACTTGGGAATATGTATAATCGAGAATATTACTATATTGAATTGTTGATCTGTGAATATATAATCCCAATGAAAATGTTATTGACGAAATCACTGTGTGCAGTTGTTATTTTTAACATTCAAAATTGGTACCCTCATTTTTGTAATTTCATCCTGAGTGGTGATCATATCATATCGTGGTGATCATATCATTCAATTTATTCTTAGTAATAACAATATTTTATCATATCGTATGTATACATTTTCCTGGATCTTGATGATGACAAATGTATGTTCCGTTACATGTAGCATTATTGTGCACTGTGCAGTAACTAATAGATAGTCGATATCTTACTATAATCATAATTAATTTCCTGGTAAGTCCTTTGACATATACTATATTGGCAGATAATACTGAAATTTTTGAACCCTGACAAAATAGTTGAACTGAAAACATTGTGGCGATGCTGTTATATTTTATCATATATATGAAGTACATCATGAATATTGTTTAAAATTTTGTTTTAGGAGACATATCCACAGATGGCTCCAATGTGGTACATAGACGATGATGATAGCTACATCAGTGCTGCAATCCAAGAACTGGAGAGAGCCCCACCTACCAAAAATAACGTAATACATCATATATAACACGTAAAATCCTGGTATTTCAGAGTAGTGGGTCATTTTCTGCAATATTTAGTCAATATCAAACAAGAGGGGCTGTTCTATGTAAAATATAAAAGACTATTGGAACACGGAGGGGTCAATTTCAGTTTTGGGGGGTCAATGGCCCCCTTCAGGATTATCCCTGTACTATAACCTGCACATGTACTGTATGTGTAGTTACTTGGTAATGAAAAGTCTGTTACACTAGTTAGTTTTTAAGGCACAATAAACTAAATATAGAACAGTAACTTCCATACACATGGCCGAGTGGTTAAGGCGTCTGACCGTCCAAGATCACTAGCCCTCTATAGCTACCTCTGGGTTGCTGGTTTGAGGCCTGCATTAGCTAGGCAGTAACCTTTGTACAATCGGTTTGATGACATCACAGTGATAGTTTTTTCCTTGTCTAGGACGTAAAACACAAATAAACAAACATAATAAATTGTTTTACCTATTCAACATGAAGGGCTTGTTTTAGATAATTACAGCTATAGGAATTGCCACATATAATGCAGTTGTATTCCTTACTGATCATATTATGATGCACAGGGTAAGTAGATTTTTACATCAGCCAAGTGAAATATTTCAATATTTATTACAAACTTATACGTTGAAATAATGGATTTTTTCAAAATCTGTCTGCAGGCTAGTACTCTGAATATGAAGCAAGCTTTGATTTGCTTACTGATATCTGAGTGATAATTGTAAGTGTCACACACATTTTGCAGGTGATGGTAATTGCTTAGCAATGTTTTTTCAAAATTCTGTATTTTGTAGATTTTGCAACAAGTGAAGATGTTGGTAACAACACTTTGTCGCCTGAATGAAGTCCCTGTACCTGAGGCCATGTCCCACATAGACCATGCACTAACAGAAAGGGTATTTGCATTTTAAATAGCTTCTTCAAATTCCCAATGAGATCAGCTGAACCAATGAGTTGTGATTAACTTGTTTAGAAGTTGACACTTTTAAACCAAAATGTATTAGAACATATAACATTTTATTCACAGTAGCTTTTTCACTGAAATCGCTGTTGTCTTTGCAAGCTAAATTGTGTTGTAAGAGAGAGAAAATGCTGGTTCTGTTCTTTTGCTAGTAAATTATCTAAGGAATAGCTTTCTGTTTTGGTCAGGTTATGAGGTGGAAACTCCAGTTGATCTTCAAGAGCAAATTATCATCGATGGCTTGGCTTTGCCATCTTTGATATGTACACTTACATTGATATGTACACTTACTCTGATACATAAATTTACTCGTGCTCAACTGGAGTTTCCACATCATAACCTAACCAAAACAGAAAGCTATTCCTTAAATATTTACAGTATTTTTCTGTATATTGTTTATAACTATTTCACTCAGTAGTCTAATCAGCAGACACAAATTTCATTTCAAATCAGATGAATGTTTGGTCGGATTAGTTAAAGCTGCAGCCTGAAATTTGCATTTATATAAGTCTTGGTTAACTCTGCCCACATCTACTGTTGATGATGTCATACATTTTTTCTTGTTCGCTGAGAATTAACATAGCTACTCCGCACACATGTATTGTTGTAGACGTGTCACATTCTATGGTCAGGCTTTCAGAAGTTAATTCCAGTTGGCGGGAACCATGGTTATTGAGTGAATATCAGTGTAGACTGCAGACTGTAAAATTAATATATTGTGATACATGTTCTAGGAGTGATAATGTGCTGTTATATTTATTGTCAGCAGCAAAGTGAAACATTTGATCATGACAGTTGTCTCACACTCAGTTGGTTTGGTGAGGTGAATCTTTAACATATAAATCTGCACTCAATGATATTCTGGTACTGAAGAACATTTTCTGCAATAATAATTTACCTTGGCATCATATACTATCAATATCGGTTGTTGATTGATACGACTAAAAATATATGAATTAATTAATATGACAAAAATTACATTGTGGTTGTCTTTTGAATGAAGAATTGCACATGTCAAATTGAATTAACAGGGCATGGTGATTTCTGATGAGGACGAGGATGACGAAGACGAGGAACAGGAAGTAGAAGATGATGATGGAGAGGAGGAAGTTTGTCACGACGACATGGAGGAAGATCCTCAAAAGTAATTTACCAGCTCTAGATGAAACATAACTTAGTCATTAGTTTAATCCTGCTTTAGTCCTGATGACTGCTCAGAATGATGGAATATTTGCGTTGTAAGAGGAAATTTTGATGGATTGTGATTTGAAATCCATATATTATGTTATCATTATTAAAGCGTGTGACATCATCAAATGTAGCATTATTACTAAGCAAGAACAGCCAGGGGAGAATACTGCATTGTACTTTCGTTACTTTTTTCTCTGTTTTAATAGTGACCAGAGAATGAAGGCGGAGGTAGCTGGTATTGACACAGACAATTTAATGGTATTGGAACGACTGAGACAGAATCAAAGACAAGATTATCTCAAGGTATGTCAGGTACCAGTACAGTAGATTAATTGTTTATGGAAGCAGTGCCACAACACACCTAGAGTGTATCACGATATAATGCAATACGGAAAGTATGTGTTGCAATATGTATACATACTTATCCGAAATATTATGAAAAGAAAAAGGCTCTCAATTTAAAAAATAATTGTCGTAATGTTACCAAACTGAATTATATTATATATGGTTCACACTGATTAAATTTTCATTAAAGCATACAGTGGTCATGAAATTCCAACTGATTCCCTCCATTAATGATAACTTGTGTTTTTACTTATTGGAATAAGAATGCTTGGTGTTAACAACTGGCAGATATGTAGATATAACCTTTTTAAAAATATTGCAATGTAAGACGGTATGCCTGTGTATTGCCATATACCAAAATATTGTGCCAGCCTTAGTTTATGTTAGTCCGAATTATTCTGACATTTTATCGAAAGATCTATTCTTTATGCACAAGATGAACATACATAACATGCCTCAAACAACCAATACAATCACTAAAAACATATTTTTTCAAACTTACTCTGTTTTACTTTACGTTTTTGATAGCCCCGCCTTCTAATGCCACATGACTATAAAATCTTGGCGGCCTACGTCATAACGTTGGGAAATACCTTCGGTAACGTTAGAACTCGTCAAGTCATGTGACATAGCTCATGCCCTAATTTCCATTAAAAACATGGGTTGGTACAGAAAACATTGAAAAATACTGTTTGTAATGATCTTTGAAACATGTTATTGATACCACCTAGTGCATGAAATTAGATCTTTCGATCCATGTGCGACATGTGTGTGAAAGTGACGATTTGTTCCTAAAATATCTATTTGAAGAGCGACCCTGGCGCGGGTCGCTTATTTCCCGCATATTATAGAGGGCCGGAGTTCTGACGTTAATCGACGCCAGTCTGATATAAAAAAAAGTCGATACTTGGACATTATCGAGATCCCTACCCTATAACCATGTATGAATTGCTCGCCATCAAGAGACCAATCATGATACATGTATTATAAATTGACTCTTGGGTCTCGCCCACCCCTAGGGACTTCACTTTGAAACAATTGATATTCCCACCCCATAACCACAAATACCATTGCTGGGTATCAAGAGAGGAACGCAATTATGATATCAGTATTCACTCTTGGATCTGGCCCCATCCCTAGGGACATAATTTCTGGGCCAAACTTTGAAATGTTTGAGATCCCTAACCCATAGCATTATATAACACTGCTAAAGATCCAGGTGAGCCTCTAGTTGTGGTATTGTTAGTTCTATTGGAAATTGAAATGAACCAAACCCATGAATCTGATTGGTTTTGCCCTTTAGATATCTGATATTTCTGTTTTAATTAGGGTTCTGTGTCAGGGTCCGTGCAGGCTACAGATCGTCTGATGAAAGAGTTACGGGATATTTATCGCTCAGACAGTTTTAAAAAAGGTAAGTAACAGACATCTTAGTCATCAGAAATCTGTAGTTCACGTTTTTGACAACAAGAGGTGACTAGTTCGTGATCAATAGCAGATTAAATGCTTGCATCTTTCCTTTTAATAAACAACGTAAGTTACATAAAATACTGTAGTAATTTTGAAATAATTGAGATGAAGTTTATTGCCAGATGGCACTGGGTGTTATAAGTAAGTTCACGATCTGTTGTTTCACTAAATATTATGTTGATTTTATATTAATTTAATATTTTTTCCCGCTGTAACATTATCATTTTCTATTCTTTTTTTTGCAGGAATTTACACAGTTGATCTAGTCAATGATTCACTTTATGAATGGAGTATAAAGTTAAAAAAGTGAGTTGATATCTCTGCATCTGTAATACTCCTTTAATCTGTTAAAATCTTTCATAAACTGACACATTGAGTTAAATATGCACACAGGCAAAAAGTTAGGTATCAAAGGTACCAGCAGAAACACCTTAAAACTACAGGTGATTAACTGTTCACAACTCTCAGATGAAGCCTTATAGAATAATACCACCAGTGAGTGAATTAGATTTTAACCATTGTGTTTTTGAAGATTCAAAAAGCTATGTGTATTATAAATTGCACTACTTACATTTTGTGTAATTTTGTTACAGTCCAAAAATAAGTCAGAATGATGTATGTATGTGATCATTTTAGATTAAGATAAATTGCATTAAAATTTTATTTATTCCTGTTCATTTAGAGTCGATCCAGATAGCTCTTTGTACACTGATCTTCAAACCTTCAAGGAAAAGGAAGGCAGGGACCATATTCTTCTTAATTTTACTTTTAAGGTATGATACAGGACACACTATCTCAGATCAACAGACATTTCAACAATTTCTGCAGTCTGTCCGAATGTAATTGGTTTCTCAAATTTCTAGGTTGAGAACAAAATATTCGGTTCATTTTCACATGTCTTAGGTCATTATATGCTGATTGAGTTGTCCCGAGAAAAAAACCTAATTTGATAAAAATGTTGCCTTGGTTCCATTATTCATGTCTGTGAAGAAAAAGTGCATAATGTCAATAATTCAGAAGGAAAATTAAGACATCAGAGGTTGGGAATCTTTTCAAATCATTTTCTGAAGCTTGCCAGATTTATCATGGTCAGAAGCAGCATTGCACTCTTCGCTGCATGTTTGTGATACAAGACAATGTAGCAGCTATAACAATACATTGTTACACTTAAAGTCAAAACAGCAAAATTATAGGGCCCTGCATTGGAGATGCCCTATAGTACCCACAGTGTCTGTCAGTCTGTCTGTTGGTCCGTCCGTCTCTCTGTCCAAAGGGTCTCTTAATAAAAAATTAATTGAGGGGGACGTTGTCCTTTGAATTATGTAGAAATCCGTAAGACTAATCTTTTTTGAAATTTGATGAAGTGATACACAATGAAATGTAGATGTGTAATCAGGGTTTACAAATTTCTTAGGTCAAGGTCACTGATGCTAAAACTTTTTGCCTTAAAGGTCATATCAATCTTATCTTCCAAAACATTAACTGTATTCCCCTTAACTATTTAAACATTTAATGGTATGAAATGTTATGAAATCAGGACAACTACCCTTCCGAGCCGCCATTTGTACGAGTGATAACCCCTGTATTACAAGGAGGCTATGTGCTGGGAGGAGGGGCCATCTGTATGGAGCTTCTGACACGACAGGTAAACAATTGATCATCATGAAGGTGTGGTAGTTCTGACTTACCATTATATATTTGTATAGGAACGGGGGTAGATTTTATTGTCTGTTTGTATAAAAACTGGTATTCATGAATTTCAATCACACATCTATGACCAAGTATTAAACAAGGCGTAGCTGAATGGAGTCATTTCGGTACATATATAACAACTATTGTACAGCGTAGCCGAAATCAAAATCGATTTTGTGGACAACTCGTACACATTTTACACTTTTGAGTGCATACGCTTCACTTGTCATTTGTCTGATGAAGGTGACAGTGTACATATAGTACTAGTCATCGAAACGTCACATAGAAAATGTTATTGGTTGTGTAAAAAAGAACTTTTCATAATTCATACTTACCAACCCGAAGAAAGAAAAAAATGTATTTTCTAGAGTCATATAAGTGTAAGGATGAATGATTTTGTTGTTGCTTCCATTTATAACCAATATGAAGATATAGTGTGTTCGCAGCAAAACATAGTTTGTGCTTCTTTTTCATGAAACCTTTTCGAATATAAATGTTTTAAATGGAAATAATAACATAATGATTATTAAGATTTTGATGAAACTTGCTATGTTATATATAAGTTTAACTGAAATTCCTTGCTGAAGTTTGATGCTTAACCAGACTCGTGCAGGTTTAGTTGAGCTGTTGTGATCTGATAGATTATAGATATAAATGTCATCTTAAAAGAAATATATTGATTTTCATGGAACTCTCCTGGTATCCTATCTCAATCAAAGTCCCGCAATAAGTTTGATGCATGGCGATACTCATAGATATTGATGAGGCTGCTGCAGTCTGATTGGCTGATTTCAAGATATCTTTTGCAAAATAATATTACATATTGTAGTGAAATTTGCCATGTATAATATATTTATAATCTTAAGTCCGTCGCTACAGCTCAATGCCCATCCAAATTTGCTTGAAACTACGTATACAGTGATCCCATCAAATTCAGCACAGCTAATTATATTGCGTTCTAATCCTTCATCATGGGTAAATTGTTATCAGCTATCATTTAGCCTAAACAGATTCAGGCAACACATCTTCTTCTGTTGAATTCCTGCTGATTTGGTCATTATTTAATTTATTATGCTAAAAAAAACAAAAAAAAAACATCTGAAAATGTCTTTGGGGTATTCCAAAAGTAATAGGCAATTTTGAAAACTCCATAAATATCATGGAAAATTATTTTCAACTGTTCAAAGTAATGAAATTTAAAAAATTGGTCCAACTAGAAGTTTATTTTAGATACTGAACTGATGATCTTTTTGAAAACCATTCGCCACCACAGCGATATTTGATGAACAAATTATTGGAATAATGTCGGAATCACAGTGGTATCTGTGGCAGATGAAAAAAACGTTCTGAAGAGTAATGATACACAATTGATATCTTTATTAGAAAAATACAGATGATGAAAATGCTAATGGTAACTTATTTATTATGAAGTGATGATCTTTGGTCTGCTTATTCCTCCATTGTTATGCATTATGTAGTGTTTGAGTAAAATGTATATTGTGGAGCGAAATTTATTATTTTTGGTGTAAATATTTTTGTGAAAAATCCTGTTTCTTTAGATGCTCTGAGATTTTCGTTGGAACGTAAAAGTGCTCAAATTAACAATTTAACTTGTGATTTACATCTTGTTATAAGTAAGAACTACCGTAAATACTCGTGTGATTTGCACACTTTTTTTTGAGAAATTTAATGCTCAAAGTGGGGGGTGCGCAAAATACACAAGTGTAATTAAGCAATTTCAATTGGTAACTTACTCTTCTTTGATGATAGATCCATGTGTGTATTTTGTACCGACAGGGGTGGAGCATAGTATACAGTATGGAGTCGGTTATCATGCAGATTGCAGCAACACTTGTGAAAGGGAAAGCTAGAATCCAGTTTTCTGCGTCAAAGGTATGACACGTAAATCTGCTTTATACCGTTTGGTGACACTATGGCTATAAATGGGTTTATTTGTATGCTACTGTAGTAAATGCATATTATATGTGTAATGTTTACATTTGCTCTGCATCCTTCCACTGCAAAGCATTCAGAAGGCAAATGTTGTTATGAGACAATTTTATATGTAATTTTATATGTAGGTTCCCCTTGGTCCCTAGGCTGTGCAGGGCAACTTTTGAGACTGATCAGATAAACAAAATGGCTCGAGGAAGAACTAAACAGACATTTTTCATATTGCAATGATCGATTCTATTTCTTTTACATTAAGTACAGTACTAGTAAATATGTGAAATGACAAACTCACTTTGAAGGTTGGCTTTCATCCGCATCAGTATTAAGTTTAGATCAAAAGTTACCTCAAGGTGCATTTACTGTTAACACGACTCGATCAAACAGAGTAGAGAAAAGAAGAGAAAAGATCGAACTGACAAAGAACTAATGAAGATGGTACAATGGTGGGTGACAATATCCCTCTAGGATCTCTTGTTATTAATGAAGGGATTTTCATCTTTTCATCAAACTTCTTCTAGAGCATCTTTGGGAAAAGAATAATTTTTTTTGTGTCTTACCCACCAAAACAGATTTACATGCAGTTCATCTTGCAACTTTGTTTCTCGTACTTCTTTGATAATTAAACCTGTATGGTACTCAGCAGGTTTTAAATTGAAAATAAAATACCAGGTGAGCTATTAAGGCCCCTGGGCCTCTTGTTTATATAATGTCAGTGTAATATGTGATTGTATAAATATTTCATGCATCATAATAATTCTCGACTTAAACAAATATTCAAAGTAGAAGTTTAAAATAGGATTCGTCTATACAATACTAATAGCTACTGTTTCTGTTCTTTGTATTTGGTTATTGACAGCAATTTTAAGACTTTAAGGTTTCTTTTCAGAATCAGTACAGTCTAGCTAGAGCCCAACAGTCTTTCAAATCTTTAGTGAAGATTCATGAAAAAAATGGTAAGTAATCTGTTATGGTTTACAAATAACACTTGGTTGCAAGCATTTATTCAGAATTCAGTCTTTAGTAAAAGAGGCCTAACAATGATTTGATTTCCAAGGAAGAAGGTTGGACTATTGTAATAATTCTGCAGATTCACTGTGATACATATTTTTTTTCCTGAAAGCGTTCCACAAAACAGGATTTTGAGTCTGTAAATAACATATTTGAAGGTTACTCTATAATTGATGACACATTATAAAGGTGCACAAGAATTGATGACACATTATAAAGGTACACAAGAATTGACAACACATTTGAAAGATGTAAAAGGATTGACGATACATTTGAAATTTACACAAGAATGTATGACACATTTCAAAGGCACACAAGTATTGATGACATATTTTGAAGGTACACAAATTGATGACTAGTTTTAAATGTATACACACATTAATGCCTGTCTGGTTATTCGGAATAACTAGAAATATTTAAATTAGTATTACTGTTTGCTCTTACAGGATGGTTCACTCCTCCAAAAGAAGATGGTTAAGAAGTACTTATGGCTGGGTTTTTTTCTGTGACATTTAAAATCATCAACATGCTGAGACTTTCCTAACGGAGAATCACCTTTGTTGCCTACTTTGCAGTACATTGTGTCCATGTACTGATGAACATTCTAGAACGCATTTCTTGGAGAAATGGATTCATCGTCATATGCAGCATCAGTCAGTTTTCTTCTCGTCAGCTGAGTATGTTTGATGTACCCACATCAGTCACCCGTGAACCTGGCTACATCAGTGTTTATAGAAGACAGTCTGCACCAATACAGACTTAATTAGTATTGTAAGCCAGACCCTGAATCCTCAAATACAGACTCCAGATTGTTTGTTCCTCATATTGCAAAGCCTATATTTATTGATATGTAGTTAGGTACACTTAGAAGTTTCGACCATGTCTTATCAACAGGAACGCTTTTGTAAGGTTAGCTTTAGTTGTCATATGTGTAGCATATCATAAGAATAATAGGCTAAACTGCGGGCATTGATCACTAAAAGATTTGAACGTAATTAAGATATTTGGAGAGGTGTGATTTTGATGTAACAAAACTATCCATTTGAAGGAGACAAAAAATGGGGAAATTAAAGCTCATAGAAAGTATATTACAGAATTAGTTTTTCGAACAGTTGCTATGTACTTACCAAAAAGTGATATGTACATTATAACATTTTTGCATATAAACAAAGTTACATGTGTCAAATAAAAACATCTTCCCCTGAATATTTCTTTTTTCCTGAGATTGAGTGTGTTTTTTTTATCTGCATTGGTTTTTCTGCTGTTGCCAATTCATGGTTGTTCTTGTGATGTGCTACACAATAAATTGTACGGAGGGTTTGAAAACTGCACTAGGCAATCGTAAGGTTGTAAGAGCGGGAGATTGTGAATAAAAAATAATTTGCGACAGGTGAAATAAGCGATTTTATGGTGAATGTGTAAATTGTGTGTGTCAGCGGATCGTAAGTAAGTGAGTCAGCATATTGTATATTGTTTTTGTATGAGAATTTACATGTTTATGTCATGCCAGACAGATTATATTATCGTAGCTGACATTTCCAGGTTAGGAGTTTTGGATGGAATTCTAGTCTTGAACTTGTTCATCTCCATTTGAATGATATTCATCTTCCACATGGTATATATTGAATTATTTGAGACTTCCTACAGATTTTTTTCATTTTTTTTTGTTCACTTTTGTTTTCATTCATTTCTTCTTAACTTGCACAAAATTTAACAATATGACGGCTCAAATTTCATATCCATCATCAATACAAAGAACTAAGTGTAAGTTCTTGGTATCATACCTTGACGATTACAATTGGTTGATCACATTTTAATGTTTTAAACAATTTCTTAACTTCTGTATAATAAACTTACTTGTAATGGACGGAAAAGATAATATCTGGATAATGTAGAAAAATATGTCAAATTGACAATCCGTTAACAGCTAACACTTGTGTGACTTAATGTGGGCTGCCAGAAGAGCTTTATTGCCCTGCCAAAAATGGTTCGGGTGGTTGGACCACTGTTAATCATTTATGAAATAATGAAAGACCAATTTGGAAGCCTGGGCAGTCAATGTTACCGAAGAGTTTTTTTGCCTCCCAGAAATGGTTTGGGTGGTCAAACATTCATGAAATGGGGATGGACCAAGTTTTGAGGACGAGTGAAGACGAGTATTAACATTTACAGGCCTGCTCAGGTTTGAAAGTGTAAAGGGATATAACTCCTGAAACATTAAGTTCATGTGATATTCAGTGATTTGCAAACTCTAAATGGAGAATGTATCTCTCAGTAAATAATGCAATTCTTTTTGTCTGGTACATGATGATTAGGCATACAGCTGTTAACAAAGGTCAGCATAGTAAAGCAAATAATGTAATTTTCTAATTTTCCCTTTTAACCCAATTTTCTGTTTTATTTAATATCTTAAGTGACTTCTTATCATAAGCATACTTTTAGTTGCATTCATTTCCATTATAATATATCAAAAGAAATTCTCGTTTACTCCATTTGTTGAGTTTAGAAACAATGTTTTCTGCTGATTTGAGAACAAGACATCATACACTGTGAAATTGGTGAAATTGGTGAAATATGTCATGTTATTCTGTTGTTATATGCATATATGGTATTGCTGTTGAATGAAAATCTACCTATTTTGATGCTGGAATCCAGGTAAACAGCACATTGTAAGACAACATTAATGTACTAAATTGGTTGTCAAAAGCAGTTTGAAATATGTATATTGACACTTTTTTGTGGATTTACAAATGTAATACATGTCCATTTAACAAAAAACCCATGAAGTAGTGATTGAGCTTCTATGAAAAATTTCACACATCCATGCTTGTATACACAGGGGCTTGTGCTTTCTCTTTGTAATACACGTGTACTTGGGATGTGTTTATAACTGTTGTTCAACAAACACATGTATTTTCTGCTCCAATAGTTTCACTAGATGCATGAAAAAAATTATACTGCTCCAATAGTTTCACTAGATACATGAAAATCTCACAAACAATAGCCCAACATTCATAGGAAATACATTTTTTGAAGGTTTCACACCAGGAAGTATTATTTTAAGTACCTAACTGATGGCGTTGCTAAAATGAGAGTTTTGGAAATGTTTGATGGTTTTCGATCCACTTGTGTGCTATGTTTCTGCACACTAGAAATGTTGGGGCTAACGCTTTCTTACCTTCACTGCACTCCTGGAATATATAGTGACGAAATTGAAGGCTTCAACATTTGGATGATAGAAATAGATACATGCATTTGATACTTTGATGTACATGGAAAGGATCAAACTTCAGCTTTATGGTAAAAGTGACTGACTTTGAAGTTGAATGTTCTCACCGGACAGGTATCATCCCAGTGACTGGCCAATTATTTTACCTAAAGCTAATGAAATAGCTAACTGTATTCCTTGATTTTACCATGACATATTCCAGGTGTGCAGAGAGCATTGGTGAGCGTAACCGAAGGGATTTTGAGGTTGACCAAACTGCCACATGCAACATTTTTCATGCATGGTAATTTGTAAATGGCTGAACTATTTTTATGACACAATTTGAATGTATAGTTTAAAAAAAAGATATAGAAAACCTGAATACAAAATGTTTAAGGTTGGAGATATTTCTTAGCAGAGGTCTTCACTGGAGTCGCCATAATTACGAATGAGATTTTGAAAAATAGTGCATCACTATATGGGAAATCACAATTATATTGTTTGTTTGGACATGTACTGACATCTTCACAAGTAGCTGACAGCAGAACTATAGGGAATCTTTTGACAATCACAACTGTTGTCTTGTAATTTATTGTGTGCAAAAGCTGACTTTCGTTTTTAAAGGATTGGATAACAGTTTTTAACAATGGTTCTTCTAAGAAATATGACCCCAAACAGTTGTACTGCCTCACCTCCTGTTTTTAGTAATCATGTATACCACTTGTGTAAGTGATTCTTTGAGCTATTTGTTAATTAATGTCTTGTGTCACGGGCAACAGAAGCTGCTGACATTAATATGTTATATACGAATTGTACCACTGAAACAGAAGTCAATAAATTAAATAAAAGAATTTAGTTTTGAATTATTTTTAAAAAATATTCCATCTATTTTTTCTCATATAGGTCCTGGTAACACAAGAAAAGACTAACCTCTGTTGATATCAAAGCAAATAACCAGTCCTAAAAGGCAAATATAGACCTGCAAATTCAGTGTCTCTTTTTAGCTCACCTGGCCGAAGGGCCAAGTGAGCTTATGGCATGGTGCGGCGTCTGTTGTCCCTCCGTCCATCATCCGTCTGGCGTCAACTTTTTACTTTAAACAAATTCTTCTCAGTAACCAAAAGGCCTAGGGTGATGATATTTGGCCAGAAGCATGCTGGGATGAAGGGCTACCAAGTTTGTTTAAATAAATGACCTCAACTTATATTCAAGGTAACTGGGGTCAAATATGTTTAAATTCTTTAAACAACTTCTTCTGAATAACCGAGAGGCCTAGTGTGCTTGAATTTGGCCAGTAACATGCTGGATAAAGGGCTACCAAGTTTGTTCAAATAAATGACCTTGACTTATATTCATGAAATCAAGATCACAGGGGTCAAATATGTTCAAAACATTGAAACAACTTCTTATGAATAAACCAAAGGCCTACTGTGCTTAAATTTGGCCAGTAACATGCTCGGATGAAGGGCTCCCAAGTTTGTTCAAATGAATGACCTTGACATATATTCAAGGTCACATGGGTCAACTATGTTTAAAACCTTTGAATGACTTCTTAATAATCAAAAGGCCAAGGGTGATGATACTTGGCCTTTAATATGCTGGGATGAAGTTTGTTCAAATGAATGAACATGCCCATATTCAAGGTCACAGCAGTCAATATATGTTAAAATCTTTAAATAATTTATTCTGTATAACCAAAAGTTCCAGGGTAATGGTATTTTGCTAGAAGCATGCTGGGAAGGAAGACTATAAACTCTGTTCAACCTAATGTCCTTGTTCGACATTCAAGGTCACGGGCGTCATATGTTTAAATCTTTTAATTGGTTCTTATGAATCAAAACTGATCAATATTCTGCCTGTAGTTGTATTTTAGTCCACTTTTAAGATTACAAGTGTGAGATTAATACCAGGTGAGCGATTCAGGCCCATTGGGTCCCTTGTTTCGTTTCATCAGCAAAAATCCACTATTTCTGTTATGCAAGATTGCATTGGATTAAAATATACCACTTGATAATTGTACTATTTCGTAGGATTCACAGAATGTCAAAACGACAGATGTTTTTTTTCTGGTTTTACTTTACTGTCGTCGATGCTGTTCTTTGTATTTCTGTTCACGACATTCCATGGGTTACGCCCTTATATGTTCTCTGCACCTCTCATGAAATTGAATGCTTTTTACGCACCACCTTGTGGATGATACCCAAGGACTATTTTGATACTTTGATGTAGGTCAAATAAATCATGCGACAGCGTTACGGTAAAATTGAACAGCTTTTATGTCGGTCCTGTGAAATCTTCCAAGGACAGGTATTAGCCGAGCAATTGGTCAGTATTTTAAACCTGAAACCAATCAAATAGTTACGATTTTGCCATGCCATATTCCAGGAATGCAGATAAGGTAACTGAGTGTAACCTATATGGATTTCTGAGGATGATCACCGTACTAACAGATTTATCGTTTTGATTGAGATATGACAAGAATGTGAAGAGATACCAAGTCAAAAATAATTTAACATATTTAATCAAGTACAACAAGCTGACCAACATCTGTTTGTATGATATTGTGTAGTATAAATGCAAGACTAGATGAATTGCAATTCAGACAAATTTCACTTCGAAGTCTCTTCATAGTAAACGGGACAATACCAACATCTCTACGGAAAACATTCAAATTGCCCGTTTAGTTTCAATTGATTTTCCTGTGCCAATATAATAGTACTGTGAACATCACTGTAGCTGTGTGAAATAGTGACAAATACACAAAATCACTAATGTGGTGGTTATTCTCGAAGCATGCAGATGTTATAAAAAATCCACAAAGGCGAGTCCTGAAAACGGAATCACCATAGAAGTACAATGATAAGTTAAACGCCGCAGATTATTAAGAAATGACAGCATTAGGTGACTAGCCACTGCAAATACACAACACTATCTCAAAAAGCTGCTTGAATTGTTTCAAAATAATGAGACGTTTTCTTAATGACTGCTTCTGGTAGAAAATAATTTATCTATAGGACAAAACTGTTTGTATCCGTTTCGGTTTGAACTTTCATAATCCAGTATGACCGAACATAAACATAACGTCCGTTATTGCACTTGTGTCTAACACGTGTGGACATAACCGATATGTTATATAAATGGTTGAACCGGTCAGACCACAGTTGTTCGTTTATTAAATAAGGTCGGGCCTAGTAATTTGATGCTGCTTTTAGGCGAGCATTGACAAAGCCTTTAAAAGCCTGCATAAACATTTGCAGGTCCGCCATGACTTATACCCGAAATTGTTACATTTAAAAAACGAACAGGCCCCTGGTGTCAAAACAAACTATGGCGGTGCATCTCTAAAAGTGTCTTGTCATTTTTGGAGCTCTGCCAAGAAACGTGTTCCGAACACCAACCTGGTGCTACTATGTACCGTCCTCTCATCTCCGAGATTCCCCTTGGAGGCGCCCGCGTGTTGGTCGTGTAAAACAGCGTGACGTTCGATTCGTTCTGGTCAGTTACTGGCTTTAACTGTGGAGGCGTGGTTGGATATAAAACACGTGCATAATTTAATCTCTTCGTGGTAGCCCTGTAAAATAAAATATCTGCATCATAATGAAGTTTATTACGGATGAATGATTAGATTTAATCTTTATTTAAGTTACAACTACAGTTATGAAACAAGTTATATTAACTTATATTAATAAATCTTGTTGACTTGGATGGTGTCATACCATAATCAATAATACACGACTCTCGAAATGGGGAAACCAAAGATCGAGGTGTTCTATTACCTTAACGCATATGACCTACCTTATATTCATTTTCTTCTCAATAGAATAGTTTCAACGCAAAAGAGTGATTTATATTACTAGCCTAGCTGTTTTCATTTTGACGTCTCGATAACTTTTTACCTAAGACCATCTTTTCATTGGAGGTGAGGTAAACCACACCAAAATACGATGTTTAGATATCCCTCACGATAACGTAACAGCTAGTAGAAAGCCGACATATACAAATTACATTGCAAACATAATAATGTTGAATTGGTTTCAGTTATCTACTTTCCAGACAGAACATGCAATATGTAATTCAAACATCAAACAAAAGTACAAGTAATGAATCGTTCGGCACTGGTAAATAAATACCAGTTGGTTATCGTAACATCACATTTCGGTGTGGTTTAGCATCATCCCAAATAATGAATATTAAGTTAACAGCTACTTACTTTTTTGACACTTGGTTCTTAAACTTCTCCTCAAAATCTTTTTTCCACCTTGCAACTTCCGGTTTGTCTTTCCTAACCCATTCGATTGAGGTTGCACTCCGGACATTTCTGTTGTTCGTGAGTTGTCGCCTTATTAACGAAGGTGGCAATAGCTTTGTCCGAAAGATGTTGTCACTGTGTTCCCCAAATACATCACAATCTTTTCTGTTAAACCACTTTTCCCTTATACGGGCTGTTTCTGAAAATAGTTTTGTTGATGAGTAAACATTTGTTTATTTGCCAAATTATTGAAACAAAATAACTTAATTTCCATCCGGTAAAATGATGCGGTGTAAATGCATCCCGCAGAAAACACTCAATAATTAGATAATCGTAAACTTATATGCTTCAAATGATTTTGATTTCGTTAACTTCACTAAAACATATTCATTTTCATGAGTATTTTGGCATTCCAATAGCATTTCGATTTTCTCTTAAAAAAACTCATGTACACTACGTTGGGAAAAATGCACAAATACTGATTATTGTAGCATTGCGTAAAATTTCAGCAATTGCATTTCAACAACACTGAGCTAGTTCGTTGGGAACGAGGATATCCTCATCGCAAAACATGGATTTCTCCGTCGCAAATTATTGAAGAACCCCAAAAATACCATAAATCGTGAAAAAGACTACTTTGACAGTAGTGATGGTTGAAATATGTTTAAAAAGGCTGGACAAGGAAAAAAGGAGTTAGTATTTACATACCTGCACGCTTTCTGTTAGATGATCTCAGATGACTGCAGGGGATGGGCAGCAGTGGGAATATGGGCGTCGCCATCTCCTAGAGGAAAAACAACTGATTTACAAAAATGACCTGTACATGTAACTTCATGAAATGAAAAGCGTAAAACTAAATACAGTATGAAGGGATTGATTGTTACGGGATCACAAACGTTCATGAATGCTTTGACGTTGACAAAAATGTGTTCAGTGCTTTCTTATTGAAATTAGATATCACAGACGTCGACACTTACAGGTAGAAATTTCCTTGAAAACGTTATAGCTACAATCACTATCATGTTTACGTTAACAATCACTAGAAATGAAGCATTGTTATATTTTGAAGTTAAAACAGAAGTTATGGTTTGAAGATACAATCTATAAATATGGGGGTATTCACAATTAATTTTTTCTTTAACCTGTCTTCTTCTAATTTTAAAAATTCATGCTATAAAGGGATTTTATGTTACTACAGTAGTTTAGATAAGCTTGGACTTCTACCTTAATGGTCTCTCGCATTGTGGTTGAATTGTAAAAGGTTAATTTTAATTTATTTTTGAAGTACTGTATCAATGACCATGTTTTAGGTTCAATCACGTGTGTGGCTAATGTCCATCTGTCGATAGTATGAATCAAACTAGGTAGAGCTATTATAGAATTCTTGATTTTACTTCGATTATACTATCTGACGAAAAAATCACTACAGCTTTGTATTGTAAACCAAAGCGACTTCGATGTTTCATTTCAACTGAACAGACTCGTTACTTCTGCACCAATGAAACTGGACACGAAAAACTACTTTAAAATAGCCTCTCTTATCTGTAATCAATATCAACAATAAAAGAGTAAAGTATTCTCACCAAGTTATTTGTTTATATAATTCGTACATATGCTATACTACTGTCTTGCTCCTGTTATTCATCAACTGATTGAGTTGGAAATTACTTATCAATTTTGCTTTCAGTTTGTTTAAGACCATTGTTCTAGAATTTGGAAAAAAACTGATGTAAATGTTCAATCCCTTTAACTGATTGAAATTTGAAATTATTGTGATACCTAGGCCAGCCAATATGCTGGATACCACTTTTAGTCGGTGCACTTAATTACCAACACAAGTCAGTACGCTGTATACCAACAGTTACACTTGATACTAACACTAGACAGCACATTGGATACCAACAGTTACACTTGATACCAACACTAGACAGCACGTTGGATACCAACAGTTACACTTGATACCAACACTAGTCAGTACGCTGTATACCAACAGTTACACTTGATAACAACACTAGACAGCACGTTGGATACCAACAGTTACATTTGATACCAATACCGTTCAAAACGCAAATTTGTGCTAAATTCTCACACCTGTTGTCATACAATCGTAATTATATTTGTTAATGTAGATTTTTTTCTCACGTTCAAGGACAAAACGAGCGAGTACAAAAACGGATGATACAATTTTACGCTGTACAGTATGATAGCTAGCACCATTTTGTTTGTTTTTCTTAATCAGTGTGTATCCGGTCAACAATGATACCGAAGTCTAATTATCACCCAGATCTATATAAAGAAAAACAAATACACTTCTTTCGACAATGCCATCGTTGTCCATTCATAAATTGTCCTTACAACACAATGCATATATTGTTCATTACCTGTGTTGTTTTTCCGTACTGCGTTTAAATGATGTTTAATTTGTACATTCTAACATGTTGGCGTAGTGTATATATATACACACACTAGTATATGAGGTGCATGATTGTATCGTACGTCTATCGATAAACAATTTACTAACCCCTAATTTTGAGGAGTAGTAATTTGAAATGGTGTTTATACAATATCTTCATATATATCAGGTGTAACTTGTGATATTTATGTATTCCGATTTAAAGAACACATACACATATTATTATATATTACTAATAGCCATTAAAGGTACAGACAATACCAGTATTCCTTACATGGAGGCACGTCCTTAAATGACCAAATTAAATCAAACAAACCAAACTTACATAGCAGTACATGTACAACGTGCTGTAGCCATGCACGACTCGAGTATAACTGCTAAACAAACGTGTATTTTACTTATGCTTTGACCTATGTAAGCATTCAAATCAACAGTGCATATCCAGTGTATAGTTTAAATAAATATAAATAATTAAGTTTATCATTTTTCTTTATACACATGTAATTCAGAAAAGGCTTACACATATGTTTGTAATGCTTGTATCTTTGAACATGTAAAATAGTTATATACCCTCATCTGTGTTATATTACCTATATAGTAACTATGGGTAATACTCTCATCTGTGTTGCATTGCCTATATAGTAACTATGGGTAATACCCTCATCTGTATTACATTGCCTATATAATAACTATGGGTAATACCCTCATCTGTATTACATTGCCTATATAGTAACTATGGGTAATACTCTCATCTGTATTATATTGCCTATATAGTAACTATGGGTAATACCCTCATCTGTGTTACATTGCCTATATATATATATAGTAACTATGGGTAATACCCTCCTCTGTATTACATTGCCTATATAGTAACTATGGGTAATACCCTAATCTGTATTACATTGCCTATATATATATATAGTAACTATGGGTAATACACTCATCTGTATTATATTGCCTATATAGTAACTATGGGTAATACCCTAATATGTATTATATTGTCTTTATAGTAACTATGGGTAATTTCCTCATCTGTATTTTATTGCCTATATAGTAACTATGGGTAATACCCTAATCTGAATTATATTGTCTTTATAGAAACTATGGGTAATTTCCTCATCTGTATTATATTGCCTATATAGTAACTATGGGTAATACCCTCATCTGTATTACATTGCCTATATAATAACTATAGTTAATACCCTCATCTGTATTGCATTGCCTATATAGTAACTATGGGTTAATTCATTCACACTTTGTGGTACGTTATACAAACTTTATTACATACATATTATTAAAAACTAGCTGACAAATGAAACAGATTTGATAATATCAATTTGAAGCAATATTATTTGTTAATAGTTAAAATAAATTACAACAAATATTCAATGCTAATGATGCATTATATAAATATGACATTCATTAGCAGGTGACAGTGAATATTGTCAACCCGAGAAAACCATTCGCCGAGGGTGACAATGGGTTTTTGAGGGTTGACAACATATAATATAACATAGACATGAACTAGATGATAACGATCATACAAGTTTCATTAAAACCTGCTGAAAAAGTATTCATTGTATGTTTTACTTAAGGCTAATATACAATTACATTATGAAATTAATTTTGGATATGTTACTTTACAAGTTTAAAAGTTTTTACAAGTTTATTGTTTTTCCTCAGATATATTAAAACGTACAACATGAGGTATCAGAGTATAATAATACACATGTAATGACAAAATGGATGGCAAGTTCACAAAACAGTAATCATGATACATATTACAGCAGTTTGCTATTTTTTTCCAACAAAAGACAAATTCCATTTAATACTGACGTGTTACAAAATGACAACAGACCACTCATTTTAATTTGAGACGGATTTTTTTTCTATAATACAGAGGATTATATTTTTCTCTAAGCTCTACAATTATTAAATTTGTACATTTGAATAAATAATGAAATTCGTCGCCTATCTCATTTTTACATAGAGTGCATTATCGGTCTTGTTTTTGTTACTTGTGTCACAATTACCATTATGTAACACCAATAACATGTCATGACATTACATATATGATTTACTGACAGCTTGCAAGAAAGACAAAAAACGATCAAGTTGTATCTCTACTGATAGATATTTAACTACTTTTTATAATTGATATGCCTGTGTAAATAACAACACATGATCTCAAGCAATATTCAATTCCATATGACTTTCATAAATAAATTAATACACAGAATGTTAATTTGGGTACTTTATATAGAAAATATCTTGTATGTTGTTTATGATAGATTGTTTCCTATCATTAATGTAACGTAAAATGAACGGTAGCCACTGCACAGTTGCAGCAGGTGTTATTCCGTCTTTGCGTATTGCAGAGTTATCTTCTCTTGGGAGCAGGTATTGATTGTTACGTCATTGGTTTGTGTGAGAAAATTACGTTGTTTTCTCAAAAATTGATGATGTTACTCTCACAAACAAGTGACGTAACAATCAATACCTGCCCCCAAGAGAAGATAACTCTGCAATACGCAAAGACGGAATATGACTTCACGATCTCAATGAATGACAAATCGTTTTTGTGACATGGCAGGCCAAAATGTGTCACCGTGATATCAATTCCAGCTAGATATTATCGCCTCTTGTATATCGTAATGCAACGTCATACGGTCGGACAGACAGTACAGGTCAACGTGCCAAATAGTACAATACACCCCCAAAGAACCACCTTGTGTCATGTTGTATACGCTTGAAGTTATTATTATTATTTTATTGTCAAAACAGACTGAACGGTTATAAAATCCGACATTATATACAATTAATGGGGGAATGATTGTATTCCATTGACTGGGTTAAAATAGATATAAGCGGTAACTCACATATTTAAAAAAAAATGTCTGTATAACTTCGTATTTTTTAACAAAACAATCATTTTTAAACACTCTATAATCAAGTAGAAGAACACAATTGGCAATGTGACATTAGGTAGGTATTTAAATAATGTTTCACAATTTTTTTCTATAAACATTTATGAATTAATTTAGAATAATTTAACCGTATGGTTGGCAGGTAACAACACGTTTCGTATATTTAACAAAACATTACAATTATATATGCAATAAAGTTCGGCACTGACTTCATTAAATGTCCATAAAATGCAAATATGGTATTGGAAGTCGATCATAGTGCACGCACTTACACGTACAATGTCAGGTAAAATTGAGGTGTCACCTATCTTTTTTTTTTATCTGATTCAGTTAGTTTGAAATACATATAAGCTATATAATTATACTAAAGAGAATGTATCAAAAAGTTCCTTGGGTTCGAATTTATATACAAAGCCCTTTATATAAGTCGACCATGGACATAGTTGGATAATACTAAGGAACACATATTTCCATTGAATGCAGTCGAATAATGCTTCTATTTCTTATCATAAAAAACAAAACTACAGAGAGTTATGCACTAAGCTCACCATACCATGCTACTTAATAAGTTGTATAAAAAGATATAATGATGTTTTTTTTCAATAGGTTTTATGCACTAGTTATATAGTGATTTACATCAAAGGTTAAATGGATTTTTAAAGGGCCTGCTATTATCTTAAATGGATTTTTGTTGATATAATATTTCATAGCGCTCCAAAAAGAGCTCACAGAACCATTAAACTGTCTGTTAGTTTACGGTTATACTGCACACTTATAATGATATGTAACGATGTGTAACGAATTCATATCTGTATTACTGAAATTGACATGTATTGTAACTTTCCTAGCAGTATGAAATAAGAGGTATTTTTTTTTATCTTAGCTGCATGATGTAAGCGTTGTTATAAACAAATCATATCAATCAATACATGTATATAATATCTTACTTACATCTTCATCGTAATTACTGTGCAATATATTAGATGCATACTTATATATGGATTGTTATTTATATGTTTATATATATATATATATTATATACATGTGCAACTTAACATGTAAAGTCAATTTAATTCAATTCTGTCGTCACAAAACTAAGCTGTAACTAAAAAATAAAACAAACAAATATGCAGCAAAGAGCTATAAACTATAAAGGTGACTTAAAAATCTGAGCAACGAAAATGGTATAAGTGTACTCACTGGCTATAAATTAGAACGCTGCTTTTCCCATCTGAACTTGCCTACCTTCTGTATCGCACCTGTATTGTAGTTCTGATATACTAGCGTACTTACCTAGTCCTATACACGTAAAGGTACGTTTAAGTACCCCCCGACCATTCTATTGTGTACTGAGAGTGTTGGAAACATCTACTAATCAATAACTCCACCGGATCAATATCAATCGACATTGATGTCAATCAAGGTTTAAGTTTAGATTGTGATAATTGATAGTCAGGCCTATCGATACGTAAATGAAACCAAAACCGATTTAGCAACGACCTATAGCGCCAAACACATGCATTTAAAACACATAGATTAGAATAATGATCTATATCGAATATCTAGATTTTAAATGGCCTTACACTTAAACCAAATGTAAATATATTCATTACTTACATCGTCCAATCCTAGTTTGTTGACTTTGGCCATGGTCTTGAGACTGTTTAGGAGATTCCGCCCTTCAATTCAATACATGTTTATGTATGAATTGTATTTACATGTATGATATTATCCACAGAATGTTAGCTGGAACAAAACGAACTTTAAATACCACATTTTGATGTTAATTACAATAGATATTTACACTGGAGCTCCACGCACCAATTAACGTATTATTAATTTTCAATATTTTAAAAAGGATCTGATAGGTAGACCGGCGAGTAGTACGTCTTAAGTTTCTATCAGATACTATCGGTTATATGTGTATATAGGAATGATATGCACGAGACAGAATGTAAACGATAACGCCTTGTGTATTGCTGTAGGCTTGGTGCTGACATTCACACACTGGTAGACTCAAACACCAATATCGAATTTTATATCACAATTATTGAAACAAACTGATACGATATTGTATATATTTGTAGATAACCTGTTAAATGTACCTGAGTACCTAATTAAATACGTGCTGTGATGTTTGAGATAAACATATATATATACTAGTACATGAAGATGTGTTTTATATCAATGCGTATTATAATATACTTCAACATAGATTTTTCATTGCTGAAACTACTGATATCAACTGTTTGATATTAGGTAGTCTATCAAGCAAAAATATGTTGGATCAATTATGTGGTCTCATGTAGACATATTAAATGGGTTACCGTACAAAACACACAGATAAAATAATAAATAATCAATATATTAATGACTCATATCTTAGTAAAATCTAACTAAATACACTTTAAATTATATATACGTATATTCGTAGATAAACAGTAACGCTAAAGATTATTTCATTTTTATATTTAATGCATATGATCGCTAATCAAACCTCAAGTTACATAAAATTTTATTAACGCTCAAATTACAGATAAGTAAATAATATCTTATTAGTGAAAATATTAATGTTAATAATATATAAAGGTTGTCTAATAAACTGATGTAATATGAATGAATTTACCAGATTTCAGATTTTATTTCCAACACTCAGACACATGGAAATGTGTAACATGAGGTACATGTACATGAATTCCAGCAGTTTCTTTATATGCAGTACATTACAGATAAAGAAATATCACTTGTACACATATACAAATATATGTTTGCATTTTCAAAAGGATATGTATAAAAAAAACGTTTGATTTATAGATATTGATTTACATTGCTGATATAATGAAAGCATAGATACAATTCACTTATAGTAAGCAGTCGTGCATTGCTACTGTATATATATATGTACTGTACCTCAAGGGATATTGGTGATATTGTATTTCAAAACAGTGTGCCAATTCGCATAAGATGTAATTGATAACTCTATAGTATATTGCCATTTGTCTCATCTGTATTACGGTATGGTTTTTAGCCAAGGTCAATCTGACAAGAACGTTCTAGAAAAAGCCTTGTTAGCTTGATAATTTATTGTCCTACTGTTCACAAGTAGATAACTGTTCTAAACTAATTTGAATCTATTTTTATCATGTTTCTTTATGATTCAGGTAATTTTAAATTCTTGATGATTTATGTATATGTTAAATGTGTTATTTTAATAATTACGAAAAATATACATTATTTAAATTTCGCCCGAATATATCGTTAAGCTGACACAGTTTAATGTAATTGAGTCGTGTATATTTTTACACGTACGTCGTGACATATTCGACGTGAAGTCCCCCACGGCACATACATGTTTTTCTTTTAGTACTTTTAACAAATAGTGTAAAATTATTAATTAAACTTCACGTCCTTAGCTGTTAATAGGACGTTAAACAAAATTAAATCAAACTAAACTTTTAACATTATTACGATTTTCAAGTAAGAGAGATCAGGCATGCATTTTGCAGCAGTGCTGTTTTATCAGACACTGATTTGCTAAAGAGTAAAAACAAGCTAAAGAAATATTTATTTTTTGTTCAATTTGTCTATGAAAACCTATTCCAACACAATAAATCACATATGGATTAAGTAATGCAACATTACAGTTGGCTAGACAATAAAGTGCCTTATCTATAAAACCATGGTCTTAATAATATTGATTTTCTGTAGCATAGCCACATTACTCATAGCCCGTATTTACTTAACATTTCGTTTGAATTCATTTGAAGTATAAATAGCGTCATTTGTCAGCTAAATTCGGAACACAAATGATAATAAGGTAATTTATTGTTAAAAATGAAACATTAATTCTTATCTCCTTGTTTTAAAACTAAAATACAAATGTTATCATGATATCGCGTATAGGAGCTAGTTTATCTGTCAGATAGAAACACCCCACGCGGTGACCAAAATATATAAAGCGACTCGTGTCAGATAGTTAGATACGACCGTCTGACATAGCTCAATAGTACACACGGTGAAGGAACACGCAGAATAGATCCTCAACACGGCCCGAGATATTTACAATAATGCCACATTTGGGCTATTGTTATAGATAAAATAAAGAAATATTTACATATAAATAGATATAAGCTATAAATAGAGATCTTCAAATATAAAGAAAGAGGAGAAAACTTTAACATATCAAACCGGAATCCAAAGGCGATACTAAAAACCAAAACAACTGGATCCGATGAAATACCGAGAGGAAAGGTATCATATTAACGACTAAAAAGATCTGGTGGAACTCCGGAACAGCAAAACATTTTATACATCAAAAGTGAGGAATTCTCTCATTTTTAGCCAGACAACGTATGTAGCAGCCAGGATATTTTTTTTGTGTTTTTGTTTTTAATTGTGCTCAGATATAGGGTCTTAATTATTCCCCTTTTTAGAATTTATCACATTGTATGATAGTGTTAAGTAAACATATAGTCACATATATTGTTACAATGTTAATGCATTCGCATCCCTTATATTTTGTTACTAAACACATTTCACATTTCATCAGTCCGATTTACGAAAACAGAAGACAATCTCTCACGCTACCATCTCACCTGTGCACGTTTACTAACATTACGTCTTTACAAACACACGCGAAACTGAATGATCACAATACAATATCGTCTGTAATTACCAACACAAATACGAAAAAAAGAACCCAAACCCCGCGTACTCCCTACTCCTAATACACACACACACATACCAACACACACACACACTCATACTAGCACATACCTATCCCTTGCATACACATTTACATGGTTAAATACAAATCTTGTACATACTATTTTAATTTACACATCTTTACCCAGAAATCGTAACTTTAGGTGCTAAGCGCCATGAGCCTTCAGTATTATCATCATTGCACCTCTTTTTTTAAATTTATTCATTTCACTGTTTTTTACTCGTTACTTTGAGAGAGTTTTATATATGCGTGTAGAACAGCAGAATGTGCAGTTTACAATTGCGAATGTTAAGCCGAACTTTCCGAGACAATTTACTGCAGTTTGTGTTTAATGCTTTGTTTTGATATGGGGTGTACCGTCTTTGCAATATCCAAGGTCCATATCGAGGATGCTTAAGTCCATGAAAAATACAGATTTCTAGAGAGATTCACATTAAAAGAAAGAGTATCTAAAAGAACAAAAGGAAAAGGTAAAGGTCCAAAGGGTTGCAATAGAATAGTTACACTGCAGGGGAATACTTTTGGTTCTCTCAATTTCAATTATGCAAAACCAGAAGACATGAAATAGAGCCATATATTATACAGGAGCCTCCACACGAGTCTTATAATAGCATGTAATACGAAATGGGGGAGAGCAGGCAACTTAAGCCCAAAACTGGACTAGAAGGATTCGAACTAAGTCGAGCTTTGCCAGTCCAGCTACCACTTATCCAGTTGTCCATCAATCTATCCAGAAGCATCTTGAAGCTGGTGTCACTGTAATCCGGTCGTCTCGCTAGCAGGCTGCATTATCGAGGCGTCACTGACTCAACCGTCCATCACTTAACCCATGTTTATCAATATACATTACACTGTAACCGAACACGACTACACACTACGAAAGAAATGCGGACAATCGAATGTACTGAGACGGGTTTTTGCAGTCATATATGGAATATGATATGTGAATCTTAACTCAAAAAGACAATCAGTTTATGATCGTGGGGGATTATTTATAAATATTTACAACAGTTTGAGTCTCATATGCATAGATAAATATGAACTGGCTCGCATGTATTATCATTATCTGTTGTATTATTAGTTAAATTGATTTGAGAGCAAATGTTGTTGAGCGAAAACTAATTCCCACCTGTGTCACAATGATCGTACAAAAACTGAATAATTGGGTGTATTGTTATACTATACTCCGAAGAAAAGAAAGTTTACCGGAATTGTAACGGGGGCCTCTATATCATGTTTTGTTAAAATATGTTGAATTTAGTATGAAATGATTTATTGGGATGTATGCTATTGGAATGTTAAATGTTTTAAACAATTCGTTTCGGTTCAGCGGTACTTTTGGACGTTGACGTCAGGTGGGGGTCATGTTTTGAAGTTTTTCGTTGTTGTTGTTGTTCCACTCCTCAACCATTGCCTTGGCTAGCTCTTGCAGGTTGGAGGGCTGGTTTGGGCGACGCCACAAGTTTCTCCAAATACCAAATGTGCTCTATTGGAGACAAATCCGGCGACTTTTTCAGGCCATTCCAAAACGTTAACATTGTTTTGTTGCAGGAAGGTCCTGGTCACACGACTTGTATGGGGTGTTGCGTTGTCATGCTGGAAAGTAGCCGTCGCTCTCTAACCCTGCAGGAAAGAGACATCCACTGGTCTTAAAATGTCATCGCAATACCGCGCCATATTTAAATTTCCATAAGCCACCACCAACATGGCACGATAAACACCGGAAATACTACCCCAGACCATGACGCTCTCCCCGCCGAACCGGTCACAGAGCTGTTTGCGAAGCGTTCTCTACTGTAGACAGCCGCGGCATTGCCTAAACGGATAACTTTACCAAAAATCTAGAGAGTATTCAGGTGCGGTATACCCGAGAAAAGGTGAAGAAATCTGTTGGGAGCTACAGGGTGATCGGCGTAGTCTCGCATGACTGAATTAATAAAAACTCTGCTAATCGATACAGATATTCCTATCAAACTCACTAGCCACTCAAACGTCATTTTATAATCAGCAATATTCTGGTGTTCTGCAAGGTAACATGTTAACCTTTAATTTGTTGCTGAGTAAGTTAAAATCGGCATTCACCGCTGGATATAATACCTGTGTAAACATATCCGTATAGTTAATTACTTGTTTAGCAATTTTTACATGAACATTACCTCATTTTAGTAAAACACATGTTTAGCGATATTCGTGCAAGATGTGTTTAATAAACACATGCTACATGCATGCTCACATTTCGATTATTTCTTTGTATCTGGAATGAGACAAAACGTGTTTGTAGTTGATGGGATGTGCGTATGAAAGAACAGTATATTTGACTTAGATTTAAAACATGAACCCAATTAAGAAAACTGAGAGAAATAATTAAATGAACATACATAACCTCCCCCGCCCCTACCCAAAGAAAAAAATAATAAAACTATCGTTTAACTGACAGGTCATTAAACAATGTTTCAAAGTGATATTAGATATATGCATATTCTCAATCTTCAAATAATCTTTGCCCCGAACGAGGGTTTGCCAAACCGCACCCCCCCTCCCAGATTTAACTGCTGATCAATTAACATTTAGTTTGCCTAATAGAAATTGAAGCTTGCGCTTCTGCACATTTAAAAAAAAATGCTTTAGGTTTATTTCTGTTTACAAATTTTTAAATTTGTTGATATGTTCGTACATAGGGGAAGGGGAAGACGGGATTAGTCACTGGCACTTGCCACTATACAAATCTCAAAATTAAAATAATATATGAAATTTATATATTTTTGTTCTATTTCCTAATTTTACCAACTAATCTTTATTTTAGTGAATAAGATTAAATGTATATTTGTTCAATATTACGTACAAAAATGTTCTTTATTCCTAAAATCGAAACGGTAGTATTGTACATATAAGCCTTTATGGGGGCAAATCAATAATTTGCATGAAGTAGATTGTCAGAACCATGGATATGTAATCTGACATTGGAGTAGATCGACACAACCATCAGGGAAATGCTAATGAGGTTTTGCTGTCTATATCACAAATATTAGCTTCTTAAAGTTGAATATTATAGCACAAAATTAGGCCAACGTATTATTATTAATTTTCACTTCGTTGCCATGACCACTGACTTTTTAGCCGATCAACCCGCTTTATTTGTAAAATAATAAAAAAAAAAGATTTTAGTAGCCCTAGAGGAGACCATTTTTTATTTAAATTACAAGTAAAGCGATCCACGTCCCAGTGCTATTATATATATGTGTTTCAATTCCTGTACTCATCAAAATATATGTGATTATCTCATTATGCTATTTTCATCAGATATATACGACATTAAAATTGATTAATTAAAAGGAGAAGAACAAAAGATGTTAGGTTTTGTTAATTCTTTATCGAACAAAAAAAAGCCTGGTCATAGTGGTGTGCTTCCTTTACAAACAGCCGGAGTTAACTCCCTTTGTCCATGTTTACTTCCGGACAGAGTCCACGTGTAGTTGGCTGCAAAAGGTTATGATCATCTTGTAATTTCAGCGATTGCTGTCTCTCTCAGTATTTCAAAGGTAAGTATGTCGATAGTTCACAAATAATTTTTGTTATGTAAAGCAATGCGTAATCATAAAGTTTTATAATTGAGCTTGGACTTACTGTTGTGCATGTCATGTGGTTACAGATTCTGTACAATACATATAAATGTTTTAACAGGGACTCGATAATTTGTTATAGTTGGTATGTTTGTAACTATCCTGATGTATAGAGAGTTTTATAATAGTTTTATGTGATTTAGATAAACTTTCAAGGGGAATCGGTATATATGATCATTATGGGTGGCAATTCTCTCCCGAGAGAAACTCGGTTTTAAACGTCTAGTATTGTTCTTTACACAGTGGACATAATTGTTAAAATAAATCTCGCGTCCCTGCGAATGTATTAATTTATGATCTAAGGGCGATGTAAATAGAACTTCAATTTATATTTATGTATGAAATAAAAAAAAAACCAAGCTAAAATGTTTAAATACAAGCACATCCTGTATCATATAATGTGTTGACCGCATAAAATATGGTAGTGTCTAGTCTACAGGAGTGCTCGTTTTGATCAACAGATTCTAATAAGTAAAATGACCTACTCATTGTTAACAACAGTGTTTAGGTTGTCGTCATAGAAATGATACGATCTCGTCAACGTTTTACATATAATTATTTTATTGATCGAAACGAGCTCCTGTAGTATAGTCCGAAATATCATGGCACCCCATAACAAATAAAACTAAAAGGAGATGGTCAGTTATTTTGGACAAACAGTATGTTACTGGTACATATTTAGTTTATAGTAAATGGTTTTGTTGCAGAACAATTATATAAATCAACAAATAATACCATGAGCCACACATCTTGTCGTAATGTTATCTCGTAATTATGCTGGGAATAAGGGAAATGCTTTTAACAAAGGACCGTCTACAAGTTTTATATACGTCCTGGTTAGTGCTGGTCAAAAGTTCGATGTTAAGTCAAATTTTAAAGACATATATTAAAACACAAATTTAATTCACTTGATTTCAATTTGTAGTATTCACAAATGTTACAATTATGGTAGCTGTCTTCCCCATCGCCCTCCCCTCTACCACCGTAACCATGTTTTCAATGTTTTGCAAACTGGACATTTTACTAGCACCGGTCGTAGCCCGAGTTTCCTCTGGCTCTGACACCAGAATTTGACATTTTGACAGATATGTGTCAAAATGTCAAAGTCTGGTGTCAGGGCCAGATGAAACTCGGGCTTCTCCCGTCGTTGTTTATTACTTATTTCCAAATAATTTCTAAACGCACAATACACGTTCCTTGAAATATTTACATTTCGAAAATATCGATGTGCTTAAAAAAACCCTTTAAATTCAGATATTGCTGACGTGAAGTGTAGCAAAGAAACATATTTCCCTGTCCTCAATCAGTTCGGAAATACAGCGATTCACGTCATGTGATGATGCAAAAGCCTAAAACTGTTACTCTAGAGAAGAATTTTAAAAAGTCTGTTTATGACTCCCTCAAGAGTATGTGTTCTGAATTATAGCGCGGCTAAGCATTTTTCTGATGTTGGATAACGCCTAGTGGGGCGTGGCTGGGTTTATAAGGTTGTAAAATTGCAGATTTTTGGTTGAAATGAAAGATTTGGCGCGAAACGGATGTTTTGGTTGCAAATATAAAAAGAGGCCCGCTCCCAATAGAATACCGCCATACTCTCTCTACTAATTAAACAATTACACGCATGCTATTCATGCACGTGTACTTGGGCATTGCAGCAAGGCGCGTATACGCAGGTACGCATGTGAACCCATAGAACAAAACGGAACAAAAACAAATTAGAAAAAATGGAACAAAAACAGACTCCACCCGAATTAGAAAAAAAAAACCAAAGACAAACTTCACCCAAATAAGTAAAGAAAAAAACGGAACAAAAACAGACTCTACCCAAACTTGTAACAACATTCGTTACCCGAAATTAATCGTCTGAGCAAGGGCAAGTCACGCCCCTTACCGCTCCATCTAGGTAGCTATTCACTATATCATTGCTTTGTTAACTTGTTATATTCTTTAAGTTTTCTGATATTTTTATTTCCAGCACAGTGGAACGACCAAGAAAAGACCTTTCTACACAGACAGATTTGACAATGGCCAACGTCGAAGATTCGGCTCTAGATGAGAATAAGTGCAACAAAAAGAAGAAGAAGAGAATGAAGAATAAGGAACATGAAATGACAGAGGAGAACGTTGTCCAACCCACAAAAAAACACAAGAAAAGGAAGCGAAGACACGAAGAGGAACAAGCCAAAATGTTAAAAGAGGAAAATGTTAAAAATTGTAAATCAGATGATAAAGCTTGTGATGGGCATACAAAGAAAAAGAAGGAAAAGAAAAACAAGGAAAACGATTGCGAGGAAGATATTTTGACCACTCCTTTAACGAAAAAAAAGAAGAAAAATAAACATAAAGAAAATGAAATCACAGAGGAACCTGAAGATGCTCATATCAAAGAAGACGGTGAGCCCAAAAAGAAACGGAAGAAGAAGAAGAAAAATAAGGAATCAGAAGATGATGTGACTGACAATGTAGATATTGTTGCAAATGAAAAACTTGAACATAAGAAAAAGAAAAGACGTTCAAAAGGAAGTGGTAATGATAACAACGTCTCTAATGATGATGAAAACAACGTGTCTCTGTGTAAAAAGTCTAAGTCGTCCGAAGGCTTGATAGCAACGGTAACTGTGCACGAGGAGGAATCTGTATGTGTCAAGAAGAAGAAAAAGAAACGAAAGCACTCGCTGGAAGGACAAGAAGCCGTACAAGAGGCGGAAAATTCTCCAAAGAAACAGAAAAAAGATAGTAAATCTAACGGTGAGATTGATTTGAGTAACGAGTCAAATTTAGCTTCAAATGTAAATAAAGGTATTCCATCAGGAGCAAAGCAAAACGCCACCGAACCTATTGTTGGGCAGTGGGGTACATCTTCGCTAGGAAGTGACACAAGGCAACAGAAATTCCTACGACTGATGGGAGGATTCAAGAAAGGTACAAACGACGCAAATTCACTGGGGACCAAAAAATCTAAAGGTCTTTTTGGAAGCCTGAAAGCAACACCAGCTGTTACTTATTTGGCCTCCCAGGGAGGGAATAGAGCCATGGACGCTTCGCAGGAGAAAAACTACCTCACAAACATGGAGAAGGACTATGAGAGAGCGATGTCCATGAATCTGAAAAGAGGTATTGGTTTGGGGTTCGAAAAGCCGCCTGGCGAAGGCAAGAAGTTCTATATTGACACTAAAACATCAAAGTCTATAAAGTTTGACGATTAAAGCTAAATAGTGATCATATCAGTTTTAAGGAGTTTTGATGTTTATTGTTTTAATGATTATTGCTAAACGTCTTTTTGTTGTGTCGCCCAGGTAATTCATCACACCATTTTAAGGAGTTTTGGTGTTTACTTTTGTGTATAGGTATTGCGAAACGTCCTCGTGTCGCCCAGGTGATATATCCCAATATTCCAGGAGTTACAACCATAAGATATTTAATGGCAAATTCGAAGGCACGCAGTTATTTTGTAAGATTGGTTTCAGATAAAATTAAAAATCAAGGAATAAATCGCGTAGCTGATTTATGTCCTTTGAAGATTACAGGAAAGGACACCCGAATTCAAATCCGCCTAATTTTGCCGTTACCATACTGCGCGATTCTTTGATGTTTAAAAAGGTTCAGACTATAGTTCTCGTTTAACATCCACAAGGGGCCGTGAACATAGCCTCCGATTTCGTCACGACATGTTACATGTACATTTGCATGGCATTGTCACTAGATATGGGACTTTAAATGACGTGCACCACGAGACACAATTCTTAACCAATCACTACGCTGTTCCATTTATTGAATATATTTGTGCAGACTGTCGATAAGGCAGGGATTTTAGATATACAAAAAAATGAAAAGCGGAGAAAACGTAAATATAAGCATTGAACTGTTTTTGCATGGCATGCGTGATCTAATTGAACGACACACCTTTGCAAGCAAACAATTCAAATGCGCTGGCGCGCATCAAATAGATCATAAATGCCATTAAAAAAACAGTTCAATACTTAAATGAGAGCGTGTCCCAAGGTATTTCGAGGATACATATGTTGTAATGTGTAAGTCTAGGTAAGGCTCTTACCATTGCTAGGCTGTAGTTTCATTTCTTTACGTAATAGAATACCTATAACTCCTAAGAATTTCTGATTGAAAGAATTTCTGATGTAAAACTTACATTGTAGAATGTTGCCTTCAATATATTTTAAGGTAGAGTCCCAACACGTTTCTACTGTACAGGCATTGACAGGTTTTTCCGGTTTATACAAAAAAATGAATAGTTTGCTGGCATTTCTAGGAAAATAGAACATTTAAAAACTTTTCTATAGTTTTAACATCTATCTTCGAAATACAATGGTTTCACTTTCGATATACAAATCTTCTGTGGGCCTTTAGAGTATGTCCTGACAAATCAGCAGGCTCGCGGTAAGCTATTTGATTGGCTTCAGACATAAAGTAATTAACCATTAAATCGCTTTATATGCGCAAATATTTTCCAAATTGTGCCATAAGCACATTCTGTCCTAGGGATTTTCATGCAATTTCTAGGAATATTTTAAACATTTAACTTCAATATTTTCGAAAATATGTTATAAAGGTGTCCATGTCCGATTGTGATAAGGATTAATGTCACATCGTTCCTGGAATTTAATTAGAGGAATATATATTAGTTTATGATTAATTTGCGACATAATTTTCTTCCCTGCGATATAAGATAAAAAAATATCTTTAGAGTATGGACGATGCAGCATTGGCTGTCAGCCGAAACCTACTCCCAAAAAATAAATCTCACATCGTATACGAGAGAAATAGTTTCAAACAAAACAAACACTGCCAAACAATCTAACAATTTTATTAAGTAATTTCATACAAAAGGATAAAGGTTTCTGATGATAATAACAAGGGTGTACGTAAATGGAGGGACGAGCAGGGTGGGGGAGGAGAGGAGGGAGTCCCGAGATTTGTGAAAAATCTGTCGACTCCTCTATGTGACCCCGACGAAGCCGCCATTCCTCCTTTATCACACTGCATGGATAAACTCATTAATATCAGTGTATAGAGTGAAATACGCACGTACGTAATTTACAATATACAAATATCTACAAAATTATTTCATTATATCAATATATACAAATAGCAAAGTAGCGGTATTTATTGCATGTGTCCATTGTTTGAGATAACGTTCTGTTTGGTTCTTCTATGGTCATTTGAGGACGTGCCAGATATGGTGGCGGAGGAAAGCCGGAGTACCTGGAGAAAAAACACCGACCTACGGACCTTCCCTGGCGACTGCTCCACGTAAGTTGGCTATTGATCGTAGATGATCAGATGCCTTAACCGTTTGGGCCGTTTAAAATAGCATGGCAAGAGACAGAAGTTTGACTAAATGAAACTTATTATGGCGCAGGCAAATAATTTGTATCACTAACAATTATATTTATGATATTTATTCACGGGCTGTATGTTAGCGGGAATACTACTATAATGCAGTTCATGTTTAAGCGGGCGTCCATCTTGAAGAACTATCTAAACTCTAATAGCATGTATTATGTTGATGTTTGTATACAGGGTATGTGTTTTTAATGAAAGTCAGTTAATCACTGTTACCGGAATTCTAAATAAAGTTTTACCTCACATGTGTCTAATAACTCGGCCCAAAGATTGCGGCATAACTAAATGAATTCAAACGATTTAGAAGGTATTTTAACTCTCCATGCCACTGCGGAATTTCACAGGCGTATGTATATAAATATTTGAATAGATAATCATTGATAATATTGTTCCATCAAATAATAATACACAAAAAAAAATTGGGAAGGAAAATCATGCAATTGTTGTTTGTGGGTAAGGTTTGCACTCACAGGGAGACAACTCTTGCATTCAAACCAAATCACTTATGTGCTTGATTATTAAGACACATTGAAGCGCCTCTCAAAAAACGGATGTGGGCGAATCTGTCAAAATTGATGGACGGATAATGCAAAAGCGTGTGAAACGTGTACATATTGTAATTATAAATGTCCATTTTTCTTAATTCGTCCACATCGCAGTAAGTTTTATACATGTACAATCAATTAAAAAATCATATATCAATCGTTTCCTTTCTGTTCTACCTAACACTCACTGTGTGTTAACGACACCGGATATTGCCATCAGGCAGACGGTGATCACACGAAGAGGGCTTCTGTTGCAGGTGAGTATTTTTGATAATTTTCTTACTTCAGAGGCTTGTATGTTCTTGGGGCTTTTTGGATCAATTCATTACATTTTCATCAATGACTTAATCCACAAAGAACATTCCTGTATGGGTCAATATTTCTTCTAGACTTGCAAACACGCCGCTTGGTATCGGCGAAAAGTCACGAGTGATACTTATCACGTGTCTGAATTAATATTTGAATTATTACTACCAATAACTTATTAATATGTATTTTCGAACTCTTTGTAAATTATGAGAAATATTACATAATTCCATAGCATTGAACTTGCAATTTGCATGATGCCGCAATCTGATTAAAATCATATGTTACATGACTTCGTTAACTTCGTACTACGCCTGAACATCTGAGTGTGCCGCGGTCAGGGTCACGTTCAGGTGACCTTTATATTGATAAACACTCATTAAATTTTGACCAATTAGAGACCTTCTTTCAAAAGGGCGTTCGGAGTTGTAATAAATACCGCGGACATTGATCATAATGATGCGAAAGTTCTGAAGTTATTTGAGATTGAAACCCGAACAGAAAAAGATATTCGAAGCTTTATTAGAGAAGAAAGACTGTATGGCGGTGTTGCCTACGCAATTATTACCCAATGGGTACGTTTTCCTTGGCGTCGTAAAAACGTCAGTCCCCGCCGCCATATTTGTTTTGGAAAACTAATCTGTTCGATCCCCCTTGCTATTTATCTACCAACCATGATATTCCGATTCGCTGGCAAACTTTTGCCAGCGCGCCTATGATTGGTTCATCTAAAGGTCACTTGAACGTGACCCTGACCGCGGCACATTCAGATGTTCAGGCGGAGCCATGTAAGAGATGATTTTAATCAGATTGCATGATGCCGTTCAGTAATCTAAAAACAAACATTCAAGTTGCCGTACAGTTTGACGAAACATTTTTGACGATATTTTATTTAATACAATGCTTTCACTGACAGTATGAATGTGTGTAATGTGGATACATCTTTATTTAGTTGTAGGCAGTAAAGTATGTGGAGGGAAGAACTACAAATGTTAAGTTAGACACGTCAGAGTTATCACTCGTAAATGGTTTCGCCGATACCAGACGACATGTTTATAAGCCTGGAAGAAATATTGACCCATATATAAAAACGTTTTCTATGGTTTAAGTAAACGCTGAAAATGTGAGGTATTGATCCGTAAAGCCTCAAGCACATGACAGCATCTGAAGTAAGGAAAATATAGAAAACTAGAAAATGTCTGTAAGACATGAATGCCCCCGCTGACATGTGGAATTAGTTTCAATGTTCTTTAAAAAGTTACAACCACTTTGATCTTGATACCCTGAAACATGCACATACACAGGTACTACACTACAAGTTGATAAGTTGATTTTAATATTCATAGTTTTTTTTCTGTATGTTATTACCATCCTGAAACACAAGGATGTCAGAGGTATACCCATATTTGACCTTTATATAAAGTTTGACCAAAATCCGTGAAAGAATGAAGTTGCTAAGTGTTTAAATTAAATCAGTTGGTGATTTTCTATATATAGCAACAGTGACATTGGCCTTGACCCTGGAACCCTGTAACACAACAATGTCCGAAGTATACCCATATTTGACCTTTGCATAAAGTTTGACCAAAATCCGTGAAAGAATGAAGTTGCTATATGTTTAAATTGAATCAGGACGGGACGANGACGGGACAAACATGGGCAACACTGTAAGCCCTCCCCCCCCCTCATTTTATGGAGGGTTGTACCTTTGTATAAAGCTTGACAAAAATCTGTCAAAGAATGAAGTTGCTAAATGTTTACATTGAATCGGGACGGGACGGGTGTTTATATTGAATCGGGACGGGACGTGACGGGACGGACATGAGCAACACTATATGCCCCCCACCATTTTATGGCGGGGCATAAAAACTTACCTTCAACTGCAGTCGACTTGGTGTGATCACTGGCAATATCCGGTGTCGTTAACACACGGTGACTCTTTTAGTCCTTAGTCCCTAGACACCCGACCTGCTGATGACATTGTTACGAGGACAGATGCAAAACAATAAATAAACCCTTTCGCCACAAATAGTGCATCATAAGGGAATAAAAATTAGGGTTAACTGTAACATTATTTGAAATATAATGTTTATAAACAGTTATAGAATCAAACAAAGGTTGCTCGCATCCCTTTCGTTACACGGGACCAAATTTTATCAAACTTAATTAGCTTAAATATATCTGATACCTTACTGCAACGTGCATGTCATCTTAAAAAGAGTTCCCCAAAAAAAACCCCAGTAATAATATCTTAAAATGATTGAAATTTGATATCAATAAATCACTGAGGTTACGATGCTTATGAAACGTATACAATAATGACGCTTTTACTTATTTAATATTTATCAACTTTTTTACGAAGTTAACTTCATCACAAAACATATGCAAATGTAGTGTTTACGTAACTTAGAACCTACAATCATTATTTCAGCTGGAAGGAATTATTACTATATATGCCGTATCATCGTATTCACGAAGCTACTTAAGTTTGATATAAACTTGATCCGCGAGGGCAATTGACTTTTTGTCAGTATTACAATAGCAATTGGTACTTTCTGGTGTTTCCCACTTTTGTGTTTCAAACAATTACTCAGTGTTGTGTTATTTACACACATACCAACTGCGTTTTCAGCAGTGAGATTTTCCCGAAACCATCAACACTGCGTTTTAGTTATTTACACATGTGTTTTGGTTATATTTGTAGTCACCATCAGTAACAAGACTTGGCTTATGTTTGAGCACCATTTCGTGCCATAATGATCGGCAATTAATGCCCTGTATTCCTTATCAAGGTATGTTTTCGCTAACCCTCATTGTATGCATCTGTTTGCACAACCATGTAATGTCGTCACGCAGTCACTATTTGTATCTTCAAAAAAACAATAAAAAAAAAATATGGAAAAGTTCTCATTTTTCATAAATTCAATAGACTGTCATTTCCACTTTTTAACAATGCTTTCCATTAAGTCGTTTTTGAGATAATTTTTTCGATTCGAACCGGATTCGACGCATGCGTGCCACGTGATAGGGGAGCAAATCTACTTCCGGTAAAAAGCAACAATTTGACAGCAGTTAAACAATATTCAAAACTATTGGTTTATGTTTTCCAACTGCATATCAGACGAGCGGGTACTAGTCGGTAGATATGAAATTTTGGTCGTATCCACCATAGTTCACCAATCTTACATTGCGAGGAATTAGGCTTACTACCGATTTACCTTCAAACCGGAATTATTAATCCCCCTTTACTATCCCACGTACTTGATCACCAAAGCACGTGACATTTGTTCCGGAAACCTGTATTAACGTAAACTTCATTGTATTTAATTCAGTGGTGTAGTGAATGTTGCATTCTAGTATACTTATTAATGATTTAGACTTGGACGATCATAGGAGACCATGCAATCTCTTCACAGTTTGAAGTGCTTCAGTTTTGAATTTCTATAGTCGTAGACATAAACACCAAAAATTAATTTAAGTCGAAATAATAGGGCAAACAAATTATCACGAAGAGGTGACTTATGATGATAGTTATGTCGACGAATGACGAAAATTTAATCAACTTACAATGACGATTTTGTCGCTTTAACTATTTCGACATCACAATATTAGATTGCTATCATAAGTCGGTTTTATGTCGATATGTTTAACAAAATAGTTATCGCGACACAAATTATTTGACAGGGATATGCCACAATGAATATCCATGTGGCAGTTTCTCTATTTGTTAAAACTGGTGTCGTGACCAGGATTTGTTTCCCACTAATCCCTCGAATGTCTTGACGTTCATTATACCAAATAAGCCATCATGGCACTCAATGCCGCAGTAAATATAACATATGTATACAATTCTCGATGATCTTCATTGTCCGACGCTTGCCGCATCTACATGACCGCCCGAGTACCTTACTTTTGACTTTTGAAGAGTCTCCTATAGCAGTTGTCAGTACCAGATTCGGTCGCGAGATCCGCCCACAGAACTTCAACCCTTTTAATATCAAAACGTTTAGTCACATCACATACATTAAGCAATTCTCTGGAAAATTGTTCTCATAATGACGGTTAGTTTGCTCCATAATTCAACGTCGTTTTCCTTTGGATGACACTGCTATATAAGTTCGTGCGATTTCTGCCCTTCTTTATTCCTTGAACTTAGTCAAATTATTCCGAGAATTCTGTCAGATTATTTCCAGAATTCTGTCAGATTATTTCCAGAATTCTGTCAGATTATTTCCAGAATTCTGTCAGATTATTCCGAGAACGACACCTATCACGACAGCTGAGATAGCTATAGCCGAGAACGTTAGTACCACAACACACACACAGCGCTGGGTCCGCACTGCATTGTTCGTCTGCAAAAGAGTGAAAGAAAATGTATCCATAATGTTCAATAGTTAAAATGTCTGTTATTTGATGAAAGACGTCTTCTGATTGGTCACCATTTACCACATTCTTAAAAGTACGAAACTAAAACAGTGCTAAAATTTAAAGTACATCCAGTGATTTGATAGCATTTTTGAATTTTTCATTTCATATTTTGCATATGATGAATTCAATATACAAATGTAGTAAAAGTAAAATTAAGTTCAGAGGTTCCCTATGATTTTGTCTAAAAAGAATTGGTGGACTTTGGAAGCTATCTCCTCAGCGACTATTTTAGATATTTAATTTCATAAACAAACATATCCAATAGAAATTGAGGCGGACATGTTATACTCCCATCAAGGACTACCTATACATGAAATAAACAACATCTAATCAAACGTTCTTAGACCTACTCTTAAGAGATCAGAAACGAGCTGTCCTTGTGCTAGGAGTTGAATTCGCGACTAACATTACACTATGGTTAAAATATTGTCGATCGCTCTAGAGCTAAAGTCAGACCTGTGTTAGTATTCTCAGTATCATATTCCCTTATTATATATAGGATTTTTATCACGACCTCTGTTCTCAACATGAGCAGGTGACGCTTCTGGAAATGGTCTAAATTCATATAGCAAGTATTGTCAATAAAACAGAAGACGCTTACTCTTTAGGAACACCTGGCCCCGTATTCATGAAACCGGTCAAGCCAAAATGCTTGTTTCGGGATTAAAATGATATGAAAATCACAAAATTACAAATGGAGAGACGTACGGTTTTCAAAGTTTACATTCAACTTTTTGTCCGTGTCAGTCGATTAAAATGGTTTATAAGATAAATGTGTCCATGCTTGAGCACGGGAACTATGGCAAGACAACTTAATACTTATTAAAGGAACAATGTTGATCCTGAAATTCAAAAAACTATATCAGTTATCTTTGATATTATACGATATATCTTATATATTATATGAGATATCTTGTATAATACATAAGATATCTTATATATAAATTAAATGAGATGCTATATAGGAAATCTCAAAAGCTGTATAAGATATCTCATTTAATTTTCTGTAAAAGATATATCATATATAAGATATCTCATATTCTGTATATGATATCTTATATAGTTTTATCAAATTCGGGATCGACGTTGCTCATTGAATAAATGTTAGGTTGTCTTGTCATAGAGAACGGTTTTATGAGAACGGGTACCGGACGTATCCTATGTTAACGTTTTGAAGAGTCTCTGTGGAAATACTCTTTCAAGCTTCATCCAGTTTAGGTTAATATTGTGGGGTTGTGCATGCTTCTGTATAATGTATTTCTATCGACGATGCCTCATCGAAGATTTTGATTTATGTAAATTTAAATTTTGTAGTAAAATAAATAATACCACAAGATAAATAAGATAAATAATACCACAAGATATTCAACTAGAGAATTTGAAATACTTGTTGAGTTGCTCGCTAGGATAGGAAATCTAAAACCTCCATACGAAAACGTATTATTTATGATTTAATTACAACACCAACTTGTCAGTCAGATTTAAAACAGTAATACACGTAAATAGAGTTGCATACGAAGATGACACATAAACAAATATTGCATGTCCTGTTTCAATCGCATGTTCAATAGCTAACAAAGTACATATCGTACCGCATCTTTATGACAGCGTGTCTGATATGATGATACTTGTCACATGATGGGGCAATTAAAAAGCTCAGATCATAATGCCCTTATTCGGAGCCTCTCTAAAAAAATCTGAATGACGGTAGCAGACGACAACAATGGTTCGCCATTCTGATCATCTCTACTGTTGTGTTATTTGGTGTTTTTCGGATAATAATATATGTATTGGCCTTGCAGTAGGGAATCATTATGTTTCACGATGGTTTCGTCCTCGTAAAACATGGATTTATCGACATTATACTGATGGCTGTTTGGAGAAGACACTGCCCTTGGCCGTGGTACTAATGAATTTGTCAGGGATCGACGGGAAATCAATAAGGCATTCCTTTCTTCTGATGAATATTTTTTTTGCCTGTAAACAAAACACAATTACGCTAATGTAAATCGAATCTAATATAACGTCTCCTTACCGCAGAAGTGTCGGCGGAACCAGAAATACTGGAAGAGGTGTTTAAAGTTTTGGCTGCAAAGTAAATAAATATAAACATAAATAATTCTTATTAAATCATTCAGTAATTTCGACAATGACTTGATGCTCCCATGCTAGTTACACACATATATAAAGATGGAAATGATGATCTAAGTAATGTTAAAAAAGATTTGGATCATATAATTGTTCAACTTTGATATATGATAGTGACGGGCTATGTTAAGTTGTTATAACCTGTGATGAACCATTCAAAAAATAGTTTGGCAATAACATATGTTTGAAATATTCCAAATGATCATGCTGACAAATCTTTTTAATTATTCGCTACATTCACACGGACATATTGAGCTATAAATCATATACACTTATGTTTTGATGGTAACACACATTTATAACAAGGGTGAATTGGATACTTGTTGTAGAAAGCAATCAATAATAGTTACGCTCATGTCGAGCGACGTCACTAAACCTATGAAATCAGATCACCTTATTATTATCAAAAACATTAAAACTCGTCCTTGCTTTCAGACACATCATAACATGTCCTTGTTTTCAGACATATCATAACATGTCCTTGTTTTCAGACACATCATAACATGTCCTTGTTTTCAGACACATCAAAATATGTCATTGTTTTCAGACACATCATAACATGTCCTTGGTTTTAGACACATCATAATACATCCTTTATATTTTAATCAGACAAGTCATCAAACGAATTTGTTTCAACCAGCACGTACAATAACAAATGTTCTTATCCCAGATACTTCGTTCCATGTCCTGGTTATAGAAGGACATGTCATTTCATATCCTTGGTTTTATATCATTATATCACCTCCTGGTTTTATGAGACATATCATATCATGCCATTTGTTTGTTTTACTCAGACACATTGTTACCTTCCCTTGTTTACCCCCCCCCCCCCCCCCCCCCCCCTCCCCCACCTGATATCATTCCTTGTTTTAATAAGACACATTATATCATGTCTTTATTGCAATCGGACATATCATATCATGTTCTTAGTTTAATCGAACAGATCATATCTATCCTTTGTTTGTTTTCAACTGATATATCATATCATGTCCTGTTTTCATTTTGTTACTTCAATGACATGATGACCTACCTGCGTTGTTGTTTGGCGGCGGTTCGAAATCTGCCCATGGATTTATATCGGCTGACTGGTTTATGTTGTATATAAGTTCGTGTAAGGAGTTCACATCCCTGCAATACACGTACACAATATTGATAACAAATGTTTTATAATTGTCTCGTCTGCCTCAGGAAATCAATACATCAGATTTCCATGATACCAGATAAACAGACACCCTGTTACCATCGTAACAGATATATAATGGGAGTCTTTAAAACAATAAACTCGTCAGAACTTGGTTTACCTTACTGGATTTGTTCTTTCAAACCTGCTTAAGAGACCGCCTCTGTTAGTAGCCTACCAGTGTTAAGAGACCACCTGCTCAAAGACTACATGTACCTGTGTTAAGAGACCACCTGTTCAAAGACTACATGCACCTGTGTTGAGAGACCACCTGCTCAAATACTACATGTACCTGTGTTAAGACTCCACCTGCTCAAAGACTACATGTACCTTTGTTAAGAGACCACCTGCTCAAATACTACATGTACCTGTGTTAAGAGACCACCTGCTCAAATACTACATGTATCTGTATTAAGAGACCACCTGCTCAAGTACTACATGTACCTGTATTCAGAAACCACCTGCTCAAATACTACATGTACCTGTGTCTGCTCAAAGACTACATGTACCTTTGTCAAGAGACCACCTGCTCAAATACTACAGACCCCCTGCTCAGAGACTACATGTACCTTTGTTAAGAGCCCACCTGCTCAAATACTACATGTACCTGTATTAAGAGACCACCTGCTCAAATACTACAGACCACCTGCTCAAAGACTACATGTACCTGTGTTAAGAGACCATCTGCTCAAAGACTACATGTATCTGTGTTAAAAGATCACTTGCTCAAAGACTACATGTTCCTGTGTTAAGAGACCACCTGTTCAAATACTACATGCATCTGTGTTAAGAGACCACCTGCTCAAAGATTACATGTACCTGTGTTAAAAGATCACCTGCTCAAAGACTACATGCACCTGTGTTAAGAGACCATCTGCTCAAAGACTAAATGTACCTGTGTTAAAAGACCACCTGCTCAAGTACTACATGTACCTGTATTAAGAGACCATCTGCTCAAGGACTACATGTACCTGTGTTAAGACTCCACCTGCTCAAAGAATACATGTACCTTTGTTAAGAGACCACCTGCTCAAATACTACATGTACCTGTGTTAAGAGACCACCTGCTCAAAGACTACATGCACCTGTGTTAAGAGACCATCTGCTCAAAGACTACATGTACCTGTGTTAAAAGATCACCTGCTCAAAGACTACATGCACCTGTGTTAAGAGACCACCTGCTCAAATACTACATGTACCTGTGTTAAGAGACCACCTGCTCAAAGACTACATGTACCTGTGTCTGCTCAAAGACTACATGTACCTTTGTTAAGAGACCACCTTCTCAAATACTACATGTACCTGTGTCTGCTCAAATACTACATGTACCTTTGTTAAGAGACCACCTGCTCAAATACTACATGTACCTGTGTCTGCTCAAAGATTACATGTACCTTTGTTAAGAGACCACCTGCTCAAAGACTACATGTACCTGTGTTAAGAGACCATCTGCTCAAAGACTACATGTACCTGTGTTAAAAGATCACTTGCTCAAAGACTACATGTTCCTGTGTTAAGAGACCACCTGTTCAAATACTACATGCATCTGTGTTAAAAGATCACCTGCTCAAAGACTACATGTACCTGTGTTAAAAGACCATCTGTTCAAATACTACATGTTCCTGTGTTAAGAGACCACCTGTTCAAAGACTACATGCACCTGTGTTAAGAGACCACCTGCTCAAATACTACACGTGCCTGTGTTATGAGGCCGCACGTGTATTACATGAAATGTAGATGAACATGTTACTCTAAAGAAACCACCTCTATTAGCAGACTACTTGTTTTAAGAGACCACCTGTGTATTTCTCTCTTCTTTATAAGTATTAGCATAAAGTCAAATTAGGATGAATATGTTACTCCTAAATATATATATAGAACTGATGTGTTCGATCATTTTATTTGTGTGAAGCGATAACAATGCTTAAACTAAACCGTATTAAATACAAAATTGTCAGGATATGAAATGTTCTATTGTGTTCTCCTTTCTGTTTCCATTGTAAACCCTTTCACTACATTATATTATCTTACCACAATTCACCTTTTTTTTTTGTCTTGATACACCTACGTTTAATGCATTTCTTCGTCGTGACACAAATCTATTTTGCTTGTTACTGTGTCCTGTAAAACTTACAGCTATTGCAATTCCGTGTCTATGGTCACACCTATAGCTTACCCTGTCTCTACTATTCTGGGCATCCTTGTATATAATATGTTACCTCTCTAACCCGCGGATTTCCTCCTGCTCCATCAAAGTCTTGCTGCAGGTCGATCCGTCTAGACTTTCCACCGTGATTTTCGTATGCTTGCATAGTATGAACGGTTCTGTTATCCCCGTGTTTATTAATACTTTGGTTCCTGAAACACAAATGATCTGGAATTATACATCACTTGTAATATCGTGAAGTTTTGGCCTCCTTTATCCCATTGTATGATTGTTGCAGGCGACTAACATGCTCCGATCTCTCCCTACATAGTTGATATTAAATCAACTCCAGAGCAGCTTCGTGAAAAAGAGTTAGCTTCTTGTATTCTATTGCAAGGTAAAAGAAGGCAACTGATACGCACACTATTTACGTCAACGCGAGCTTTGCTTTGTGTCCTCCGATAAGTGATACAAAAGGGAGAAAACGCTGCTTCCATTTCAATAATTGGCGCTTATTTCTATTCTCTACATTTGTTTTTTAACTCAAGAGTCTCTTTACGAGAAGGTTTTCTTCACACACATTTATATACTTATTTTGTTGCTCATTTATGGATATCAATCCTCGAGAGTACGTAGATGCACAACCGTGGCAATGGGTATTCGTGAAAAATGAGCAAATTCAAACGTGCCTTGACCAGATATTTTACGGTGATTAATAAAATCCTGATTCTTATAAATAAAGTGTCAAAAACGAATTACCAGCTCATCTGATTTTTGTTAGGCGAACTACAGCGGGTTTCACCAAATTTGGATGGATTGAAACAAGTTTGTTTTTCTCTTTTTCATTTACGTAACCAAATTTTGTTTCTCTCACGTCTTAACCAGGATTTGGTGAACAATCAACAATAACATTTCGAATGCAACAGTAAATATGGTAGCTTTTCTAGATAACGTACAAGTTTACGAGGATATTTGACTCTCAGAAGGTCCAAAGCATGAAGCTTATCAATTAGTTTCTGTTCACTCCCTAAGCAGCATTTAGAAACAAAATATAGTTCCGGAATGGCGATCACCGGGTACAAACTGTAAGTCTAAGTTAGATAGAGGAGAATGAACACGGTCAGTCAAAGAGGATTTAAGTTCACGCAAGGCATACATGCTAATTGCTCATACAAACGTTAAGAAATATGTTTGACATAGTGTTTGAAATTCCACGGAGGTAAGAGTAAAACCATATATATACTGTGAAATCTTTCGTGGGTTTTTAATTTCGTTGATTTCGTAGGTATTCTTAGTCCACGAATTATTAGGTCAACGAACTAGTTATAAGTTTTATATAAAGCAATTATCTGTTTGAGTGGGCAATCGTAATTCATAAACTAATTTACTCACGAAATGGTGTTTTGTTGGGAAACCACGAAATATTGACCCCACGAAAATATCTAATTTCACAGTATCTCAAAATATAACTGATATGTCGTACGTACCATTGTGAAGAGGAAACGCCTGTACCAGCGCTAGAGTCTTTATCAGTTGAATCTCTAGCAGTTCCAGGCAGGCGGAAAATATTTTGTACAGACGTTCTAGCTCTTGAGCGTCATCTGTACCGAGAGTTGCGCTGAAACCCAACATATTATTGGCGTCATTATCACAAAAATATTAGAAGATTAATAATAATAATAATAAAAATAATGATAATTCGAGGTTCTTATATACCGCTTTATCACAACCTAGTTCATAGGTCGTCTCAAAGCGGTTCACAAATTATTATCCGTGGTTATAGGGCCTTAGCAACTAGCCAATATCTTTCTTAACTCCCTGGGGAGCATACAGCCGGTGCTGCCATTTCGGCGCTCACAGATAGCATTAAACAATTCAAGCACTGCCCAATTGCAAACACGTACTCATTTACAGTTGAGTAGACTGGAACAAGCGGAGTAAAGTGTCTTGCTCGAAGATACAACCGCAACCCTTCGGTCACGACCCGGGCGTCCTACCGCTAGACTACCGTGCCTNACATGTGTACTTGTCAGCTTGTACATGTGGGTGCAGCTCACTGCATAGCATAGTATACATACAAGGCACATTGATTACAAATATATTGTGGACAAGTATTGACATACAAAATAGGCGAATGTTCTCACAAGAGGTTATCACCAGAACGGCACCTGACCGGTGAAGTGAAAGTGAAACCACAGACTAAAAACTGAAACATTACGTTATTGACCACGAATAATGCTTTACGTATTGCTTTTTTTCTATTTCAGGTGTGGGAATATTATATTAGAATAACACACATACCTCAAACAGATCGTTTAATTCATGTTGTGTGAAATCGATGCTTAACAACATTTCTATCGACAGCATTCTAGTGTTTACCAATGGCGAATAGACGGTACGAGTTATCGGCCTTGATATTGTATGACACCCGGTGAGGGCACTGTGAAATCGGTAACATATTTTCCCGCCACTGGGAGTCGGCGGTCCCTTCACTTTAGGTCTCTGGTCTGTGCTAGCATTCAGACAGGTGAGAACGGTGTCACATGTGACTCGACTATTGATAATACAAGCTACTCTGTGTGGATCTGTCGATCGTTTTTCAGGATAAGAATACGTTTACTATACTACCCCAACAGACTATTGACATGCAGGTTTAAGTGGGCGTGTCATAAACTGTTGCACATCAGATACATTTAGATATAAATCCTGTGGAGATCGGAAATGGTATATCAGAATCCGACACGTCCGATTTTATAATATAATAGTTTATGAACAGCTAAAAATGCAAAATACCAACCGTTTTGACTTTCGGCTACAACCACATAACTTGCACCAAGCAATCTATTTGCCAGAATAATCATTCAAGCAGGAACATGTGACGGACAGTTGCATCTTGCTAAATATCTTTTGATGCTTAAGCGTAATATATCGATGAATTCAATATTGATTTTCTTTGCTGATAATGTCTCGCGAAATATAAGTAGTGTATATGATCAATAACCAAAAAGATCACTGGACAATTAGGTCTACAGGGTTTTGCAATTAACATCATTGATAGAGATCACCGATGCCAGACCACCAATATTAATATTAATCTTGCTCACAATTAAAATACAGTTTTATAAGAGCTTCTATCTATCAACGCTGCGTTCCCGTCCTAAGCTGATTTGAGGACATACACAATTACTTGCATTCTACTGATTTAAGGTGGAGCGTGACTAAGTATGGTCCACTGTGGGATCGGGCGTTTCCATATTACTTATACTCTGTTTCCTACCGTTTTCTTACTGTACACTGGACATTTCGCTGCAGTGTATCTTCCTATATAAGTAATTAAATGTGAAAGGCGAAATTTCGCCCTTTGCCTGTAAAACCCGAATTCGCCCAGTGTAAATTTCGCCTTTCACATTTAATTACTTTGTAAATTATTATAACCCTCGCGAAATAAAGCTACTGTACAATACCTGATCTTCAAATATTTCCTTCGAGTAAACTGCTTTTAAAGGTAATTTTTCGGTGAAATTCGTCGAGATGCCACCATTTGTCAGCACAGTGATGATGTTCTAAAGGATTTTGACAATATATCTAGGAGTTCACATTTTGTCATGGAAAAAAATATATGGGAAAGGGATACATAAGAGTACGCTGGCGGTAAATGATGTGATAAATGAAACGAAAGGCATTACATCGAAATTGTTTATCACAATGACAGTGTGCAAATATTTTAATTGCTTATATTCAGTGTTATTAACAGTCTTGTTATCTTAAGGTCACCATATCGTATATTGTATAATAATAATCAATATTGAATAAAGCCTGGAGTTATACTTCAAAAACGATTTTGATTATGATTAAAATCGTTTGCCACCAGTGAGATTAGCTTGTAACGTTAAAAATGACGATGTGGAATATGGTGCGTAAAACATTTTAAGCCATTTGTCCACTGCTTAAGCTCACAGAAGGCTTAATTAATTCCATGAGAATTATCTGAGATATGATTTTTTTTTTATTGTTGTTGTTAAATAAATATTTACGTCATTTGTTTCCTGTTGACGTAACTTCTGCATTACCCTATCATTTCTGGCTTAGTCCTAGAATCAATATGTAGGATTTAGGTTCCGCAACACTCTGTGATAACAGACATAACTAACTCTCTACCAGAAGGACAAATTCGTCGAATTCGACGACGTCATTTCTCGAATATTTCTTTTTTCAAGTTTCGAATATAACGAAAACATAATAGACTTTTCGTATATTTAATAATAAAAAAACAACGTTGAAAGGTTGTCCTTCACTAGTATCACGAAGGAAAAATATATCTGGTCGCTGTATCGTCGTTGTAAGGGAAAAGAAAAGTCGGTTATGTAATAATTTGATCATGACCGAACACAAGCTTAACGCACTTGTTTTCTAATTCCGTGAGATAAGTGCATAGATTCTTTGATTGGTCCATCGCGAGGTAATTGGAAAAGGGACTTGCATCAAGTTTTAATGAAGCGGTTCTCATTTTGAAAGGTAGTGTGTGTTCTTATTAGTCTGCTACCTACGTCAGCGAATAGAAGTCATACTGCACCAGGTACACGGAACATACTTAAAAAAACTTAATTAGCAATTTAGTTGCACTACATGTCGATCGCAATTCACTGTAAACTTAAGGAATTAACACTAAGAAGGCGACACACCGGAGAGTGCGTCAATATCATCAAGAACAAATTAGATATCTGACTACCTCAGAAACTGTCAACCGGTACGGAGATATTTTTTCTATTATCAGTATTGACTTCTCTGGAAGACCGGTAGAGATACAGTAACTTGGCTTTCGAAGGAACTAATTATAGAGTGCTTAGCACTGAAAACTAATATTGTAAATATCATTTATCCGACACCACTATGTGTTTTTCATTCTCGGCTCATTGCATGGATAAACTTTCTAGGATTTAGTAAACTTTATTGATTGCCCACTAGAAGGTAGCATCTAGGTCCGTATTCATGAAACCGTTCTCAAGCTCAAGAATGGATTCTGTGCTCAAATCCATTTTTTTGTAACCTGCTTAAATCCCATCAAATGATTAAAACGTCAAAATTCAATACCGAAAACATTATCTGGCTTTAAGTCACTTTAAATGTTTTATAACTTATTGACAAAATAACAATGTTTATTCCTTTTTAACCGGAACAAGAAATAAGGCTGATCACAAAATACATTCTTGAGCACGAGAACGGTTTCATGAATACGGGCCGAGGACGTTGGTCGGTTTTTCTACTTATGACTTCAAGTCGCAATTCTTTGCGAAGTCATTTTTCATTGTGACATCAAAGTTCATGGCAATTTTTTCTCGGATCGAAAATAGCAAGTAGTGACGAATTCTCCAAAGAAACATATAGTTTTCTAGATACAATACCAGAATGGTGAGAAAAAGGTCCCCAAACTCGTGATGGTTTATCATCATGTGATTAAAACCATCGTTAGTTAATTTTTCTATTGTAAAAGACACTCGCGAAGAACCCCGTGTCTTTATACAAGTTGAAAATTAACAAGCTCCACTTAGTTAAACATGATAACCAATCATCACTAGTTGGGAAGCCTCCATATATACAATTTTTCGTGGAAAACAAAAATTCCCACGAAATTAAATCCCCACGAAAACATAAATTTGGTATGATATAGATAGGGAAAAATCAGAAATCATCGAAATGAAATGTCCTTGGAACAGTCTATTATATGAAAACCACGACATTTTACCCCCACGAAAATAATAAAATATACAATATGTATATAGCGCCCTATATGATTGGTAAAATTATTCTACAGCGCTTTACAACATATGTGTAATAGTATTAGTTATATTTGATAAACAAAAAGGCTTACAATCACCATTATACTTTAAGCAAGAAGATAATCATCTCAATGTGCATATAAATGATTTTTTTTATAAAGGGTGCAATGAGCCTAAAATGGGTCTTTATATCTTTCTTGAATTTGGTCATGTAATTTGACTTTCTAATAGCAGATGATAAGCTGTTTCACAATGTGGCCGAATATCCATACGCAGATATACATTTATAGACTACAGAAATATAGAATACAGTTATATAATGATTTCAGTAATAGTTTTCACTATTACAGTATCAAGAAGTGCAGTTGGTTAGAACGACCGTATCGTCTTCTGACGTCCTGGGTTCGAATCCTGGTCTGATCCTTTTGAAGTTTATACTCTAAGAACATTTTTGTCGATTTCTGTTTTGTTTAAATCCTCTAGAATTTAATCTCTTAAGCAAAGCTATTGTTATTCTGTTATTTTTTTTTATTCCCAATTGTAGTTACAATTGCTGGCAGTGGTATCACCTGACAGTTATCGTCGAGGTATGGGACTGCGAATGCGCTTATGTAAGTACAAGTAAAGATTGTTTATGTCGAAATGATATATTTCAATATTAAAAAACTCGTATATGAGGATCTTGTGAAATATCCCCCTTTAGGATGCAAGTTCAATGCCTTGAATTCACCTCTTTTCCTACTCGCTATACTTGAGATAATTCAGCAGGCACTGTGTTAATTTAATTATAAAGTGATGTCCTTACATTGATTGATCCGCAAAATGTAACATAGCCATGCTAGTGTCTGTTATATTCATTGATATAGCAAGTCTTTAAAAGAAATAGGTGTGAGTGTGGTAATATACATTGTGGTCAAGACACCCAACTGAGTATTATTCTAAATGACCCTTATGCTCTGCCGTAGTTTAGTCACCGTTGTATGTTTTTTCATCCAGTTTGAGTATAATTTTTTATCACATACCTATGTAATCTTACAGTAGTAATACAACAATTTTCTGTTGATGTTTTCTGTCAGTTTTTATCACACATGTTTGATACAAGATGTTGTATCACCATACTAGCCGGAACTACTTTTTATGGGAATCCCCTTGCAAAAAAATATCAAAGTTTGTAAATCTTTGTATCGATCTCTACCAAATACGGGAGGTATGTGATGAAAACAAGACCACACACTTGTGTTTTTCTAACAAATCAGAAAGCACTCATTTATTGCGCGGTCGTATATATTCGTCCGCGCAAGAAACTCGCGCTTTCTGATTCGTTAGAAAAACACAAGTGTGTGGTCTTGCATATGCATTGCACATATATAAGGTCATTTTACCTTTCTAATCATTATAATCACTCAATATATTATCCTTATGTTCCCAATGTATATACTGTCGTATGTATTTCTGTGTTCAAATATTGTAACCTGACCTGAAATGCATCGAGTAGAATAAACACTGCATTATATTACCAGCCTCTTAATGTTTCCGGCCAAGGGTTAAAGCACGAAATCAAAGGTTTGCCTTCGTGTACTCATTGAATGAGGAGTCTTGTTAAGAAATGTTCTGTCGTTACATTTCAATGTTTCGAATTTGGACATTTCTATCTAACCTTTCTTCATTGCCAGATACAATTTTACTTCAAGCAGAGTGTCTCAAAAAATGTTATAACGATATGAACGATATCAATAAAGACAACCTACTTGCTTAATAAAGGAACCAATTTGAGTCTGTTGAGTTGCGCCAACTCTAATCCTCGCAACCGGATTCGTTTGAGTTCCTCTCGGAGGTCCTCGGAGTCCTGCGTACCTCCAATGTACACAGCATGTGTGCAGTAAGCTGCCGTCTCTTGGTTGAGTTCTACAACAATCTGAAAGTTTAGAGAGAAAAAACCCGTCAATTATATACATATTAGATTTAAGTTTGAGTACAACGCGAAGTTATTCAAGATTATAAAAAAAGATACGGTGAAACGATTTTCCCATAATAAATATAAAAATAATTTAAAAAAAAAAGATAAATTAATGAATAAACAAAATAAAAAAATATATCCTCAGAACGGGTACAAATAGGCCTTATGATGTTGGATTCAGTGATATAAGGATTTGTTTTTAAACAAAACAGAGAATCCAATGTTTTAAATGTGTAATAAAAAATATAGTATAGGGCCACTATTGAATTAAGAGAATGTTGTTATTTGGAATATCGAGTATTGGTTGAATTTTATCTACAAACATACATATACAAAACCTTAATTACACACCAGATTCAATTACGTGTTTTTTTTAAAATTAATTGTCCCTTCCCATCATGTGGCAATGCGGAGTTTACGAAAATAATTTATAACATCTGGAAGCAAGTATACTGTTTCAAAGGCATCTGATCAAATAAAAAAGGTATGGAGTCAGTTTTACTCTACCACGTGTGTGGTTTTACGGGGTCTCCCGAACAATACGTTAAGGATTTCCGTACGACTACCACTACCTGTAATTAAGTATTCGAAACTGTTTTTGCCGGCATGACTATAGCTTTGATAAATCATAATATAGTATATTGTACAACATTATATACAACTCTATACGGTTACGATGTGTGATGTTAACTTGTGACTTACGATGTGTGATGTTAACTTGTGACTTACGATGTGTGATGCTAACTTGTGACTTACGATGTGTGATGTTAACTTGTGACTTGCTATATTATATTAACTATGTTGTTTTGTTATGATGTGTGTTGTTGCATCTAGCTTAAATAGAATATTGTGTATATCATTATAATATGAAGTAAGATCAAAGTGCATGTTTATGTCTAACATTGTGTATGTACTTGTATTATTTGTAAATACTGTATATTATGCAATGTCTTTCCTCCGATTTGTTGAAAACTATAAGGAAATAAAAAATTGGAATCAGAATCAATCATTCTGAAAAGAAAACCATACCTTGCGGGTATGAAATAAAGTGAAAATAATTAACAATGGGGTTTTGGGTAAAAACAAGAGGCCCATGGGCCTTAACGGTTACCAGAGTTCTGATATATACAGAATATACAGAGAGTTGATTTTTGTTTTAAAAACATGAACAGAAGTATTATTCAAAGTGACAAAAAACAATAAAAACAACCTTATCAAATATCTAGCATACAGATCTAAGACTGAAAAGTATTTGAAACTAGCATCTCTGATTCTAAACAAGGAAAATGAAGATATTTTAGCACTCTGTCTCCTTTGGGCGCCCTACAGCCCTTTGGGGTAGGGCTGGCTCAACATTTTCAAAGTTTCAAACTGTCAACACAGGATTATTATTATAAAAAGTTATCAACATGTAATATTCAAAGTATCATTTGCCATAATAAATTTTGCCTGGGTCTTGAGAAGAAGATTTTTTAAATTTGAGTCAATTCGACCGCTTTTGGCCCCACCCATCAGCCCCTGGGGGTCAGTCAGAGCTGATATCTGCATACAATCAAACTGCTATCCAATGCTGATAATGCTAACCCAAATTGAATTACTTCCAATGGAAATTAAACAAAATGTGATTTCCCTATATGAACTATAGTAAAGTTTACCCCCTTCCCAGGGGGAAACGTAAGACCCCTGGGTCATGAAATTTACAATTTATTTATTTTAACTCCCAATATCTTACAGGGAAATTCATATGGTTAAGTCTTCATCATAAATTCTTCGAAAAATTTATGATATTTAGCAACATTAGATAACATGCATATTTTTGCTACATTCCCATTGGTTGAAGAATAATCACATGGAGGTCAGTAATTTGAGATATTGATTCGGTGTAACAGTTTTTCGAAAGAACAGGTTAATATTCCCTTTATGACGTCAGTTCGATGGTGACGTCACGATGGCCCCAGCCCAATGAAATTACTTTTCTCCGTACAATGTTATCTTGTTTTATATCAAAACATTATTAAGCATCTAATAGACCAATTTAAGAACTTTTATTTCGTTTCGGTTAATATCACTTTCTCAGGTCCATAAAACACATATTCACCTCAACAAAAGTCCATAAAAAATGAATAGTGAATTTAGACAACGCTTTATAACACGTAATCAATAATGTGTTGGTCGGCACAATTGTGCAAATTCTCGATGCTTTATGGTCATAACGCAAACAATTAATTCGTAACATTTAAATTTAACCGTCCCTGTATCGTGTAATCGATATGTTTGCTTTAATCGGTGCGTCTCCGTAAATCTCGTTGATATACATATAATGAACATCGCTATCATGACGACCTATTGACGTTAAGCTTTGTTAGCTCCACGTCAAATTTTCAAATCATTTTTTTATTCATTTTTTTTTAAAATACTAAAGCTCTTTTAATATAAAAACGAGATTTTATCTGAGTTGCAAGTGAAATTAACATTGCTAACGAATTAACTTGGTAAGCATACCTAAAGAAGCTTTTTGATGTTGGTCTAGGATTAAAGCTCCATCAATAGTGAACTTTAAATTGGCATAGCACTGCAGTACACACCATGTCAGCCATCGAGATTGTATCAAATGGTTGATTTACCATGGAACTTTAATGTACACATATATAGGAAGTGTTGTCTATATGACAATGTCCGCAACATCATTAACACATTAGGTAACGACAATCCGTATTGATTACCCAGACGTTACTGCAAACGGGCTGATCAAGCAAAACAGGAAGTAATAGAATCACAGTGTCAACATAGACTGGATTACCTTCCTTAGTACCATTTTTTTCCGCTAGACTGAGCTCTTCGTAGACTGGATTATCTGCCGTGGTTTTTTTCTACTCTCTGGTAGGCTTCGCTTCGAAAGATCTCAGCATAAAGGAGAGATATGGTATTAAGGTAATCCAGTCTCCTATTATCTAAGCAAATCCCATTGGAGAGAAGAAAAACCACGGCATACGATCCAGTCGAAGTTTAAACACACCAGCACAAACTCGGGACTCAAACTTGATATAAAATGCAACAGCACGAACCAAACAAATTCAAAGACCAAAGCAGATACATCTAGAAACGCCATAGAGCAACACTAAGGAACTCAGGAAGAGTAAGGTTTTTAAGCACCAAATGCAATAAACGTAATCCGATATTTATCTTGCCTTTTCAAAAGAAGGGCTCAAGCAAATGATTAATAAAAGACGAAGTTGTAAAAACAATCGGAATATTTTGTAATCTGTTTTTCGCGTCTTTTGTTACATAAAAAGAGAGGTAAAACCGGCAAATTAACATTAAGACGTATTTTGTAAAATATATGAAGTTAAATCGACACAGTAAGGTTTGATTTGTCGAAATTTTAGTTGAAGAAGAGCTATTTTGGAACAGTTGTATGTATTTTTCTAGCATGGTTATCCCGAGTGGTAGTGGTAATGCCCCCAGTTTTATTTGCCACCTCGATTACTGCAAACAAATTTTAAAGTCCCTCTTCCCTCTTTTTCCTCTAAGATTCTTTTTCCCATTATTCTAAATTGATCCTCTAACCTCTATATAATGCCCACACTTCTCTGGATAAATTGTGGCAGTATAAGGAGTGCTGTGAGTCTTTGGAATACTATTTGGATCCATTTGATATTATATGAACCCATCTTCATTGTAAACTAGTCATTACTAATAATTCATGTTCACATACTCTTTGTTACTTGCATAACGTTTTTATTGATAACCCGTTATCTACCGATGAAAAGGAATAATCATGACGAAAAACCATGAATCATTTCATTCCCGTTACATTTCCTCGAAAAAATATTTTCGTGATTGCATTTCAAACGACACATCTGACATGTATGGAATTTTGTAAAATATCAAATCACCGATATGGTCATTTTCCTTCATGAATTGTGCTTGCAATGGATGTTCATCAAGAATTGCGAATATAGTGATACCACTGATAACTATGTACATTATTAAAACATGTACTTTGTCAAGATATTTATCTCGCTCAAATACATAGTTAGTTCGCTTAAGGATCCCTGTCCAACTGCACTGTGGTTTTCCGTACATAAAGTGACTGTATACATTTACATTTGCTCTGCATCCTTCCATTGCAATGCTTTGCGAAGGCAAACGTTGTGATGAGACTATATCCACATTTGCTATTGTAACGCCAGCAATCTCTATTGTGACGTCATCAGTTTTCATTGTTGTCAAGACCTAATTTGCTGTTCCAAAACTGTTCAAAATTACTAAATAAAGCATAACTACTCTATCAGAATGTAAATATATATCATGAATATTTTAGCAAATATTGTTATGTTCCTATATAATACACATTGCTATTATTGAAAACTTACATAAAGCCCGGTAGCTAAAACGTTCATTTCTTAAATAACTGGTTATTCTTGACAGACCAGTTATTAATGTTTTTTAGCATTAGAAATCACTATCCAAATCTCCGGGCCTAGAATAATAAATAAAACGCAAAACACAACTTGGACCCATAAGCGTGATTGTTTCAGACGGGTCTTGAAAAGATATTGACAATATTGTATTGTATTGTATTGTATTTTATGAACAATGTTTCTGAATAATAGTGACACGCTTATTCATCCGAAAATGGACGCTTTCATAGAACAATTCAAAAACAACCGTTTACTCTTACTTATATTTTGTTTACATAGACATGATCAATATTTGTGGGCTCTGTTTGTTCCTCTGATTAATCAATGATAATTGTCTGAGAACAAATATAAATGGCTCGCGTACATATTTACGCACAAAGCTGCAACAATGCTGCAGACCAGGTATTTAATGCAGATCCATCTTATATCTTTATTATTTAAGTGTGACCTTGGTATTATAGAAGTCTTACCTAGGTATATTATTGTATTACAGAAGTCTGACCTCGGTATATTATTGTATTACAGAAGTCTGACCTCGGTATATTATTGTATTACAGAAGTCTGACCTCGGTATATTATTGTATTACAGAAGTCTGACCTCGGTATATTATTGTATTACAGAAGTCTGACCTCGGTATATTATTGTATTACAGAAGTCTGACCTCGGTATATTATTGTATTACAGAAGTCTGACCTCGGTATATTATTGTATTACAGAAGTCTGACCTCGGTATATTATTGTATTACAGAAGTCTGACCTCGGTATATTATTGTATTACAGAAGTCTGACCTCGGTATATTATTGTATTACAGAAGTCTGACCTCGGTATATTATTGTATTACAGAAGTCTGACCTCGGTATATTATTGTATTACAGAAGTCTGACCTCGGTATATTATTGTATTACAGAAGTCTGACCTCGGTATATTATTGTATTACAGAAGTCTGACCTCGGTATATTATTGTATTACAGAAGTCTGACCTCGGTATATTATTGTATTACAGAAGTCTGACCTCGGTATATTATTGTATTACAGAAGTCTGACCTCGGTATATTATTGTATTACAGAAGTCTGACCTCGGTATATTATTGTATTACAGAAGTCTGACCTCGGTATATTATTGTATTACAGAAGTCTGACCTCGGTATATTATTGTATTACAGAAGTCTGACCTCGGTATATTATTGTATTACAGAAGTCTGACCTCGGTATATTATTGTATTACAGAAGTCTGACCTCGGTATATTATTGTATTACAGAAGTCTGACCTCGGTATATTATTGTATTATAGAAGTCTGACCTCGGTATATTATTGTATTACAGAAGTCTGACCTCGGTATATTATTGTATTACAGAAGTCTGACCTCGGTATATTATTGTATTACAGAAGTCTGACCTCGGTATATTATTGTATTACAGAAGTCTGACCTCGGTATATTATTGTATTACAGAAGTCTGACCTCGGTATATTATTGTATTACAGAAGTCTGACCTCGGTATATTATTGTATTACAGAAGTCTGACCTCGGTATATTATTGTATTACAGAAGTCTGACCTCGGTATATTATTGTATTACAGAAGTCTGACCTCGGTATATTATTGTATTACAGAAGTCTGACCTCGGTATATTATTGTATTACAGAAGTCTGACCTCGGTATATTATTGTATTACAGAAGTCTGACCTCGGTATATTATTGTATTACAGAAGTCTGACCTCGGTATATTATTGTATTACAGAAGTCTGACCTCGGTATATTATTGTATTACAGAAGTCTGACCTCGGTATATTATTGTATTACAGAAGTCTGACCTCGGTATATTATTGTATTACAGAAGTCTGACCTCGGTATATTATTGTATTACAGAAGTCTGACCTCGGTATATTATTGTATTACAGAAGTCTGACCTCGGTATATTATTGTATTACAGAAGTCTGACCTCGGTATATTATTGTATTACAGAAGTCTGACCTCGGTATATTATTGTATTACAGAAGTCTGACCTCGGTATATTATTGTATTACAGAAGTCTGACCTCGGTATATTATTGTATTACAGAAGTCTGACCTCGGTATATTATTGTATTACAGAAGTCTGACCTCGGTATATTATTGTATTACAGAAGTCTGACCTCGGTATATTATTGTATTACAGAAGTCTGACCTCGGTATATTATTGTATTACAGAAGTCTGACCTCGGTATATTATTGTATTACAGAAGTCTGACCTCGGTATATTATTGTATTACAGAAGTCTGACCTCGGTATATTATTGTATTACAGAAGTCTGACCTCGGTATATTATTGTATTACAGAAGTCTGACCTCGGTATATTATTGTATTACAGAAGTCTGACCTCGGTATATTATTGTATTACAGAAGTCTGACCTCGGTATATTATTGTATTACAGAAGTCTGACCTCGGTATATTATTGTATTACAGAAGTCTGACCTCGGTATATTATTGTATTACAGAAGTCTGACCTCGGTATATTATTTTATTATAGAAGTCTGACCTCGGTATATTATTGGATTATTAAAGTCTTACCTCGTTATGTTATTGTATTACAGAAGTCTTACCTCGGTATATTATTGTATTACTGAAATCTTATCGCTGTATATTATAATATTACAGAAGTCTGACCTCGATATATTATTGTATTACAGAAGTCTGACCTCGGTATATTATTGTATTATAGAAGTCTGACCTCGGTATATAATAGGATTACTGAAGTCTTACCTCGGTATATTATTGTATTATAGAAGTCTTACCTCGGTATATTATTGTATTATAGAAGTCTGACCTCGGTATATTATTGTATTACAGAAGTCTGACCTCGGTATATTATTGTATTACTGAAGTCTGACGTCGGTACATTATTGTATTATAGAAGTCTTACCTCGGTATATAATTGTATTACAGAAGTCTGACCTCGGTATATTTTTGTATTACTAAAGTCTTACTTCGGTATATAATTGTATTACTTAAGTCTGACCTCGGTATAGTATTGTACCAGAGAACTCTTACCTCGTTTTGTTTTTGTATTACAGAAGTCTGACCTCGGTATATTGTTGAACAAGAGAAGTCTTAGCTCGGTATGTTATTGTATCACAGAGGTTTTACCCCGGTATATCATAATATTACTGAAGTATTACCTTGTTTTATTTATGTATTACAGAAGACTTTCCTCGGTACATTGTTGCATTACAAAAGTTTTGATTTTGTATAGTAGTTTGCTTCCCTTGGAATGGTAGGTTGGTATAGTAATATATTACAGGAAGAGGTATACTAAAATAGCATTATATATAAACAGATTGGTACCCCAGAATATATTTAAGATGAAATCCTACCTTAATTTAATACAGGATGAAAAATGTTTCAATAGCTATCAATGTTCTTTGTACCACTGCACAATTTAATACCCTCCGCTTTTTTTAATGGGTATTCAGTGTATCTCGTTTTGTTTCGGTTCTTCTTTTCAAAATATTTTCCCGGTAACACAGGGTTCTGATGTTGTAATGGTATGTTAGAAGTCTACCTTGACGTTAATGCATTTTGTTGAAAAAATCTAAACAAAATTATAAAAGTCGTCATGCTTATCGTATTTTGTCTGTTAAGTTATCTTGTCTTGCACTTTCGTCAGTTACCTATAATTTGTCGTCCTATAGTAAAATATTGTACAATTACAGGTGTCCTACCTTGGCACATTCTTGTATAATTCCAGGATCCAGTTTCTCTGGTCCAAGTCCTCTGCAGTTGGTGAACGACCTTAGCTGTACCTGGCCGATCTCGCTTTCTCTATTGTTCTTTGAGTTACATGATACCGACATCTTTTACTCCACACTTCATGATGATGAAGGCATTCTCATTAATCATGAAGGACAGCTCAATATCCAAAACTTCCGATCCGAAAGATCAACTCAGTTGGACGAGGACTTAGTTGCTGGATTGACCAACAGCACTGTTACCTAGTTCTTGACTCATGTTTTGGACTGATGCTCTGTTGCCGTGTTGCGATTGAACTGCTATGTTTCCCTTGTCCTTGGGTCACGTTGTGAACTGCTTATCTGTTGATCTGTTGTGATTAACTCAAGGCTCCTTGCATGTTCAGCTGAAGTGCAATGTCTGTCTCCACTGTATGTATTCCTTTACTGGCATTGTTCCGCTGATACCTCCAGGCTAAGCATGCTGGCTCCCTGTTAAAAATAAACGGTACCTGTACAGGGATATCATGTAGCATAATGCTGTTCGCCTTACCACCGGGGTAATCAATACACACACTGCTTTTGTAGTATAAAACAGCTTACGTGGATTTGTTTCTAACTTAAGGTAGAGAATCCCATATTTTTTCAACTGTATACTGGTAGTGAAAAGCTGTTTTTGTTTTGTTATTATATTTCCTTTAAAATTAGCAAAACAAGTATTTATTGCTGGACGTTTTATCCTTTTTAAATATATATTTGTTCTTGGTTACATTGCAGAGAGGTACCAACACAATACATATAAAATTAAGAGCTCTTGGGATCGACTCCTGATGTCAGAGATGTCAGTGAAAGAGTAAAATATGTTTTCTGTTGTAAATGAGTTTTTACTACAGAAAAGGAACATTCCATTCCAAGTCAGAAACTGTTTGGAGAAAAAACCACAGAGCGTAGTTACTTTATACTTCAGTAACATCGTTTGGAATATTGTGTTTTAAGCATTCGAGATCGTATTGAAGAAACCCTTTTATCATCAAAAAGTGCATCGGTGCGATACATATTGGATGTAGCATTATCTCATCACTGACAATAAACTCGGAACTTAACCAATATATCTAATGGGATCGCTAGCACAGTGGCTCTGATTAGCTGACAGATAGACAATGAAGCACGAGAGATCTGGATAGTTGGGCCAGGAGTGTACGTCATTCGTTGCTTTCCTTTTCTAATAAACCTGAACCAGGTAGAAATAATACAAATACGACATTTACACAAAAAAAAACTATTGTTCTTTATAGTTTCATCGTCAGAAATGAATGCTCTTGGAAATCTTGTTTTTTTTAATATCTGCTGAATGACAGGTAACCTGACACGAAACTCGAAATGAGGATTGTCGAGATCTTACATTTTAACTATAGGTAATATTTATAACTATAAAAATGAAACAAATTGAAAAGCATTGGCGTTTTTCTTTCTCATATTTATATATATACCGAATAGCTCCTCTCCTTCAACATCTAAAGGGTTATATAGGTATTGACACAAGCCTATATTAGTTTCTCCTTATATAAACTGTCTCAGAATTAATGTCTGTTTCAAGAATATTCCCTAAGGCAAAATGTAATATTATTCTACAATCAACAGCGTTTTGTATGATGTTTAAATAAACAGGATGAAATACTAGAAACATACTTATTAGGAATTCTTTAATGTTGGCAGACGATACCATTGACGAGATTCACAATCAGTTACCAGTGATTTATAATAGCAAAGCAATTTTATACCCTTTTTCTTCTTCTAATAAAACACGGAAAACCAAATAACAAATGTATTGTTCTGAATACAATAACCCGAAGGTCTTTTCCTCGAATCATGTAAGACAAACAATGGCATCGGGTTACAAGAGCAATGATTTCCGAGGAGTGTTGTTTTGTAAACATCTATGACCGGTCGTGATGAAGTTTGATTAGAATATCGAATGAGGTTAGTCTGGTAGCTGAAGATGATGAGCGTATACAGTAGACAGTTCTTACAAAGGTAGACTCAGCTATTGTCTTATACCCAAAATTAACAATGTACGGGCTTTATCACCACCGCCTATATATAAGTATCATTGTCCGGTACACTTATTCCAAGTAGGAGTTAATCTTGGTCCCATATTTAAAAAAAAAATATAGTTCAGATGACAGTGATAAAGATGACAATGTGTCGTTACAAGAAGTTAGACATATGCTCACGAACAAAATCAAAATATGCCTTACCTCTCTCTCCCATTTAACATACCATTCCGAATAAAACCCTTTACACGGCAGAAAAGCATACCTGAAGTAAATCAGTCTCTACTCTTATTCCAATATATACGGACTTGTGTATCAAGACACGGAACAATTTTTAATGAATCAAATTATCCTGTTATGCTTTTCTATCATGCTATGTACACTTTGTATCTCCTATTGAAATGAGTTCTAACTCAGGAAATATTTCAGACTTTCTGTTTATATTAATTAGAAAGGGAAATTGAATTTTTCAACTTCCGCAATCAGTTGTAAGGATAGATGTATTTTCAACACTTTAAGTTAAAATATTCATTTACTTAAATTCATGGAAAGCTATATGAAAAATGAACAAGAGCCACAGTATTTAAACCATAAAGATAGATGAACAATGTTCAGTATTCAAACATTTTGGCAATGTATACAAGGAAAACCTCGTTATACCGCCACCTTTGATAGAGTAAATTGTTGAAGCAACAGATAAGCTTAGTGATATATGGTGGGAGGCGTTTAAAAGAATTTTTAATAAAAAAGGAAAGGAAAATCTTTAGATCTATGACTGTAATAGAAGGAGCAAATGAATCTACGGGCGTTATATCGAAATTTATATAATAATAGTAGAATTCGTTTATAATCTTGATCCAATCTGATATAAAAACTATAACTATATACACGATAACAGATACAAGAAGCATTTTGAAACGCGATCAATACAGTTCCGACCTCATTGCACGAGACACAAATTATCAGCTCTGTAGCATTGCCTTAGTCAATCATCTCTGTATAGGTTACATCGAGGAAGGGCAATACCTGAGGTTGTGCCCCCTAGTTGAAAGCTTAGTTATCTTCACGACAAGATAACGTACAAATAAGGATGGTCCTTAAAATGGAGATATCTAAACGTGTGTTAGTATGTTGGGGTGTTGTGCTGCATTTGTGTTAATATTTGATTTGTTCTGTTGGAGGTGTATTCTATTCAACTTACATAGCGAGTCAACTTGATATTACAAACCAACCGTATAGTAATACCCAAGCAAGCGTACTACCCCTATGTGAGAGAATCCGAAATGTATTGATTATCTATGTAAAAGTACATTTATAGTTACATTGTATTAAAATTAGAAAATCCATGGTGATGGCACATCCGCCCAAATGTTTTAAAACAGTAATCGATAATATATGTATACATATAATACAGAGTACCGACTAACATGAATCATATCGTAACACAAAACACCTTTTTATGAACATTTAAGGAGGTGTGTTACCTTACTTGCACATAATCTCCATTTCTAAAGAGTTCTAAACCAAGATTTTTTTTATATCGATCGTAAGAATTCTAATTTTCGACTGAGTTGTTGACACAATTGTCAAGCATAGATTAGTATTGTTACCGTTGATAACCCTAATATAATTATGATGATACCATTTAAAAATTTATGGATAACTATAACCTAAATTATAGGTAAATATTATAAACTGGGTAACAAAATTTCCCCTGCAAGTTTTAATAACTGGCCACATGGCTTCAGATCATGACTAGCCCTACAGCACAAATGCACATTGGTTTTAATTATTATATTCTCAAAACCACTGCCATGATTACCTAAAATTACATGTATGTGGGTTCAAACGATGCTTATTTAGACAAGATATTTTAAAATGCTTGTAATAATTCAAAACATTTTTTAAAACAACATATTTTTAAAGGTTTCCTTAACGACCCGTTAAGTTAACAAAGCTTTTTTTAAATTTGATCCATACTGCATTACCTAGGACAACGCCCACTGTAATGGTACTTGCATGTTGATAATATTTCCTTGTATCGAATGACACACAATTACACAAATATAAGTCAGCTTAACGAAACATTAAAAAAGAGACTAATTTCCTTCAAAATTGCTGCTAAATCAATAACATATATATTTGGCTCCGTATCCTGAGATGATCATTTGCTATGTATTGATAGATCAAGCTTAAACTTTTTATTGCCATAGAAAGAAATAGTGATGGAGACATATTTTACCTTTTCGTTAAGCTAACTAGACAAATGAATATCAATATTACAAGTCCACAAGGAAGCTAGCGCGGTAAATAACTATCACTGTTTTATTACAAGATCATTTATATACAGCTTTAAAGGCACCATTTGTTAATATGAAATATAGCTAAAAATAGAGATTGGTGTAAGAGGAACACTTCCTTAAGAATCTACATTTGCTGTCACCGTATTTTAAAATCCAATTATTTCGGTTTCGATATTCATGTATATGTATCCTCTCTGTGTAGAAAAAGAACGTCTGTGAATCGAGCACGGCTTCCTTTGTTTTTGAAGTTGCTGTCATCAGCGGAAGTTAACTAATAAAATAAATAAGTGATAAACCAAAGCCTGACTGTCAATGTTAATTGGTTGATTAATTTCAATGGTAAACATGTAAGTCATTGCAAGGTATAATTGTGTTAAAATAAATAAAATATATGTCATTACAAGGTATAATTGTGTTAAAATACATAATATATATGTCATTACGACGTACCATTATGTTTACATACATAATATATGTCATTACGACGTACCATTATGTTAACATACATAAGATATAAGTCATAACGACGCATCATTATGTTAACATACATAAGATATAAGTCATAACGACGTACCATTATGTTTACATACATAATATATATGTCATTACGACGTACCATTATGTTTACATACTTACGATATATGTCATTACGACGTACCATTATGTTTACATACATAAGATGTAAGTCATTACGACGCACCATTATGTTAACATAATAAGATATAAGTCATAACGACGTACCATTATGTTTACATACTTAAGATATAAGTCATAGCGACGTACCAAATCATTGAGGATTGTTAATATTCTCCAAGCCGATGTCCTGTTGAGAAAAGGTCAACTCACCTTCGATCTTTAAACATGTCCTAAATGTTCATACACTTGTGTTATCAACCACAGCAGGTTGTAGTTATGTAATATAAACAATTCATAACGATGTATAAGCACATACAGGAAGACACGGAACTCACGTCCACCACGTACTGGAGGAGAGTATACCCTTTTCCGGGACTAACACCTGGATCACCGTCGCCATCATCATAGCTGTGTCCATGTACCTCAAGCACTGCCACGGACAAGAGGTCGTAGTCACGCTGGTCCCCGAGATCGATAACGAGTGATTAACTTAACCTTACGGCTTTATAGCCAACCCTTTCACTCAGAATCATTGCGGTGTTTTTTATTATAGCAAAATGCCATTAATATCGGTTCCTCAGGTAATCTTGATGACAGCATCATGAGAACTATACAGATGACGATCAGAGCAGGTAAGACGTCTCCGATTAGATATTGCCGAAGTAATTGCATCTAAAGAAATCCAATCAAGTTCAGCAGTAATATCCAGTATTATCCTTAGGTTTACCTAATGAGTATTTTTTTATAAATCTTATATTTCAAGCGCCTTAGCGGTCACCTGAGTTATATTATAGGTACCAGTAGCTCCATTTCATTGTTGAGATGTACAAAATGTGAAAAACAACATGTAAACAAAGTGAAATACAATACTTGTCAAGTCACCAAAGGATAAGAACTTTAAAAACTATTCAAATCAAATAAAAAAGGGAGAGCAGATGACCTGGGGATAATGAAATTTACAATTTAGGTATTGGTAATTTAGGTAAGGACATTTCTATCCATGAACAGTAAAACATCTGAGTCTGATGAAGAAGATTATTTTTAACTTTGAACCATAACCCAATTTGGCTCCCACCCCTCATGCCCCTTGGGATGGTCAGGATCTTATTTTCTCATAACATCTAATTGCCAGCCTGCATCATAATCATTCCAACCAAGTTTGAATCGTTCCCTGCTGAAAATGGACACAATATACATAAAAGCATGTTTTCCCTAAATAAACTAAAGTCAACTTTACCCCATCCCCAAAGGAGAATGGATGACCCGGGGTAATAAAATTTAAAAATAGATAAAGCCCCTGACAGAATTTGTTCATCCATGCATATAATTTGATTGTACTACATCTGAGTCTGAAGAAGATTTTTGAAATATTGGTTAATTTTCCCTTTGGTGCCTTTGGGGTAGGAATCCCAATTTTACAATTTGATACCATCTTCCTACAAGGATGATCCTCACCAAGTAAGAATAAATTCCTACTAATGAACAAAATGCATTATTTCCCTTTATAAACTATAGTTAACTGTACCCCCTCCCCAATAGAGAACGGATGGCCCTGGGGTACTGAAATTTACAATTTAAACATAGCCCATGATGATCTTTTCATACATGCAACGAAATTGACTGTAGTACCTCTCAGTCTGGAGAAGATTTTTTTGAAATATTGGTTAACTTTCCCTTTAGGGCCTCGCCCTAGCCCCAGGGATTGGGGAAGGTATCTCAATTTTACAATTGTGTAGTCTCATCTACCAAGGACGATTCTGACCAAGTTTGAAAAAACTCCATCCACTTGTTTTTGAGAAGAAGTCGAAAATGTAAAAAGTTTACGCACGTCGCACGACGGACGACGGATGACTGACGGAAAGCAATCGGAATAGGTTACTTGAGCAAAGCTTAGGCGACCTAAAAAGAGATTCATTCCTTTCCTCATGTGCTATCAAGCTCACAAACATTTGGGTCAATGTGGTTAGTTCAATAGGCAATCCACCGTTTGGGTCATTTCGGCTATGTCAACATTGGCCAGGTTTAAGAGGATACCTGGCCTAAGGTTTACAGTATCATTGCAATCATCATCTCATCATTGTATCGACTAACAGGGATACTTATAATCTAGCTATTGATATTTGTTTGTTGCATTACGTAACTAGATGATGGAAAGGCGCCAGCTGAGGTATCTCGGGTAACCAGTGGATGACCCATACACGCTCTGGTTTTTGTTTACCTTCGTTGCGATGATAGCATGCTAACAAAATCAGAGCTCAATTTCACCTAAGCTGTCATTTTACAAGAATAAAAAAAGTAATAGATACTTCATTTTGTTACTTCGAATTACTGTAAACGTACAATTTTTTGTGGTAGTCTTCTTTTAGCGCTTTTCGTCATCAGTTATGAATGTACCAAATGAAGTTCATGTGTCTGGTTTTCTATGTAATTCGTATGTGCATCCATTCACCAATACGCTAATCTGTTACAATTCGATAATGCGTTAAAATTTGTGTGCGTTTCAATGAAATATGTACTTTTTAGTAATATTGCAGTTATTTGGATATTTTAATGATACATATATATCGATTTTAAAAACGTTTAGTTTGTCCAAGCATTTATGAATACAATTACCATATACCTGCTCATAAAATCACAATGGATTCCCACAAATGACCATGTCTCTATACATTGTGAATCGGTCTATATACCTATTTAAAACCGACTAATTATATGTATTATTATTACATAAATACATATTATACACCTAATATATATATATTATTTCTATAGTGTTTTATATTCAAATGCGCTGTCGCTATATATATAGTGCATAGACTACTCCGATATATATGTGTCATAATATGTACTTTCTACACGTGCACGAGATCAATTCTCACTAAATTTTATAAGATCGGTTTTATTTTGTTAACCTTCCTGTCAGCAGCTGAGGTACATGTCATTGAAGGAGATGAGTTATGGATGTTAATCAAGTATCTACAACTCATTTCATGCATTATTAAAGGGTTCGATGCTAGGTTGTTTAAACATCAGATGAAATGGGTGTGTTTTTTTTGTCACTGAATATGTATTTATATGGACATTATTCTATTCATTGGGGATGACCTTACCAGTAAAGAATTGAATCAAATAAATTAAGTCAAAAGGAAAAAAAATATTGTTGAATAACAAAAACAAAAACAAAAAAACAAAAAAATTAAGTAAATATTGAATTGAAAAAACTAAAATATTAAGAAAACAATAAATAATAAAATGTTGAATTAAATAAAACACCCAAAAAACAAATATAGTTAAAATGAAATAAAAAAAAAATATCTATAAAAATTAACAGAAATAAAAGAATATTTTTTTCAAGGTTTGAATTTCAAAAATACACTTTCGGACCGTAGAATGAAGACGTCTTAACCAGTCGTCCATTAAAGACGATATAGCGAACATTCACTGAAAAATACATAAATGGACCCACGAATAAAAAAATTCACTGTCAAATGCAACAGGCTCCTTTATATAGTTTTACTTTCGTTTCATACAACATAGAATAAACAAAAGAAAGTTTTATACTGGCTAGGTTCAGTCTACTGCTTAAATTTGAGTAGTGCTACTATTCGTGCAATGTAATATTCGCATAATCAGGTAGGTTCGTCGTACCAATTAGCGCAAATTTTAGAGCATTACCTAAATGTAATGGGTGGTCGGGTGGCGCAGTGCATAATTCATTCGCCTTTCACATACGTGGCTTGGTTCGATTCCCTAATAGGACGTAGAAAGGTATGGGGTCACCCGCCCGGACATATGAGCTTTATCCGGGTACTCCGGTTTCCTCCAACATTAAAACCGCTACGCGCTAAAATCCGGACCAACAAGAGTGATTTATGTGTGACTTAAGTTGTAAAAACCTGTTTCAATAGTTGTACAATAAATACAATTTATATATAATTTTAACCGAGAGAAGGATACTACTTGAGGACACAAAAGCGACCACAATAAATCTGCACCAATTGCAATAGTTGGGATCTTAATATTACTCTCTACTTCTAACTACCTTTTATTTCCTATGTTTATGTATAGGCCTCCCGCTCAGTTTGTAATTTTTATTAATAGTATTACTAAGATTTCTTTAACCGGCACGTTTTGTCTTTCATCCCGAGCTAGATCTGACAAGAATGCCCGAATCTGGGAAATTGCGCTGCATTTTTGAATTCGCGGTTGAATCTTTACCCTATTATTCGGTAAGTACTTGAAATGAAATTAAAATCAATAGTTGCTGTAATTCGACCGCAGTAATTGGTTGTATGGATGAGTACTGTACATTATTTTAATGTAATCAACAATGCTTTTATTTTGATTGCGTCAATATCTTTCTTTTTCTTTTTTTGATCTGCAGCAGCATCTGTTCTTGAATTGCAATTTTCACATTTCAATTGATGTTAATGATCGTATTCATTAGATAGCCTTTCAGACCTGAATTAAAAATGCACTGCCCAACTATTATTTCCAAGATAATTTGGCAACAATCCGAGTATAATTAATTAGATTTATAAAAAGATAAGCTATGCGTTTTACATGTACGTGTTTATTGCTAGTAGGGATTCATTAATCTATCACTATTGATCTTTTACAAGAGCGCTAGAATTGCTGTAGGTTTACGCTAATTAGTTAAAAAAAATGTGTTCAATAATGATTTTTGTAGCATACAGTCTAGAGGAGTCACTTTGTCATAAAGCCATGAGGGAGACAGTAGTGGGGAAAAGTTTTAATGAAATTGATGGACTACTGTTGGTTTAACAGAGATTAGCTCCAAGGGTAAACACATATGAAAAAATCAGTCCTAGATATTCATTATTAGGTATACAGTTGTTGTGATTATAATGTAGTATACAAATTCATAATGATTGATCCCGTTAATTACCTATCGGAATTGTTTTGTACAATAAGATTATTTTCACCTATAGAACATGTCCACATTTAGAAACAAGACGAATGCCAAGGTAATTATACATGTGGATATGTTCTTATAAAATGTCAGGATATAGTAACAAATGGATAGGAACAAAACTAACAAAAGAAATAAACAAAAACAAAAACAAACAAAAACAATAAACAAAAACAAACAAACAAACAAACAAAGAAAAAAACCCCCCAAAACAATGATATATCAAGGGAAGAGAGAAAAATGTAATTTATGTCTACAGCACAAACTTTTCAGAGTAACGGAGCAAGAAAGGTCAACAACCAGAGATATGCGACTGTCTTGGTTACATCTTAATCAAAATCCTTCCAATAGAGTATGTTTTTTGTGAGAAAACTAGCATTGTAAGAGGAAGAAGAAATGTGACTACTTAAACACCGTTGGTGACCAATTGAGCAAGAAATGGTCACCGACCAGAAAAATACAACTGG